AGTAATTTATCACTGAGCTGACAGCATCCATTGTAGCTACCACACTTACATACAGAGACTAAGAAAACACTCAAACCTGCCTTTAAGTGCACTTTAAAAACCCACCAGAGTTGAAAAAGGAATGACTACTTATTGGGTTATTTTGACCCAGAATGTTGGGTTGTTCAAATTAGCCCAAATTTTGGGTTAAGGGGTCAAGTTAACTCAGGGTGGGCAGTCATGTGCCATGGAGGGCCGAGAGGCTGCAGGTTTTCTTTCTAACCCAAAACTCCATCAGGTGATTTCACTGATTACCTCCAAGCAGAGAGCAGGGACTAATCAGTGAAATCACCTGGTGGAGTTTTGGGTTGGAAAGAAAACCTGCAGCCTCTCGGCTCTCCATGGCACATGACTGCCCACCCCAGTTAACCCAATCTTCCAGTTAATTTTTCTCATGTACTTTTATACCAGTTCTTAAAACGTAAAACTGTCTTAAACCTACCCCTCCTCTTTGTTTTTTTTTTCTTCTCTTTTTTACAATTTAGTGTTCCTCAGTGCAGTCTTTAAGAACCTTATCTGTTTGCTCTCTGTTCATGTAACCCTGCTGGTTAGGGTTCCTGTAGTTGTAGTAGCATCCCAACAGAGCTTTGTACTCATCTCATGTCCATCACCGTCTCTTTGTTGTTGCAGTAGCTCATTTCTCATCACATTGCAGATCTTGCTGAGCCAGTTGGGCTTTCAATGGCGGCGCACTCATGTATGTGTATGAGGTAAGTCATAGTTCTACGGGACTTGCCTAAGATGTAGTTCGCTCCTTACAGATGTGTCTTGTGTGGGATTCGAACCCCTACCCCTCGGTCGGGAACTGGATGCTCTACCCCCTGAGCTGCCCCAGCTGTCGAATATAGTTTGGGGTAGCTACCTGGAGCTACCCCAATCAAGGTCAAAATTCACAAGGTCACCAGGTTACTTCAATTGCCAATAGGCCTAGAAACCACATAGACCCATTCAAACCCATTCAAAAAAAAACTCAAATTAGGTTACAGCAGAATCCATATGACCCAAGAAATGGGTACAGATCTGAAAAATAACCCAGAAATATAACTCAACACGTATAACCCAGGAATTGGGTTGAAGAAATCACTCAAGAGTTTTTAGAGTGTGAGAAAAAACCTCATGACTTGCAGCCTCCTGCTGCATGAACAAGAACACGTCTGTTTGTTGCATCTGCAAATAGCACGTAATTCAGAAATCTAAACTGTGTCCAACATGGTCAGATTTAATCAGAATGATTGACAGGTCAAGGTCCGGTTCAGTTTCTACACCGTCTCTGATGTGGGTTGAATTCAGATGGATAAATGTGGTCAGGGTCACATCACAATAGAAATAAAAGTGTGTAATATCCCTTTAAATACTACAGCCAGACTCCCCCTCGCCTTTGTCTGTCATGACTCTCGTCCTCATTGAGTCCTCCCCTCTCTCTCCCTCCTGAAAGCGTGGCAATGTCATATTTTAAGAGGCCTTTAACACACGGCTATTTATCTGCAGCCCCAGCACGGGTGAGGCGGGGAGGCTCAGAGATTAGCCGGCACAGGCAGACGTATTTATTTGGCGGTAACAGCATGTGGGAAGCAGGACTGTTGACATCACCGCCATTTGTCAAAAACACTGACCTTGTGTGGGCGCGAGTGGATTTGTTTCATGCATCAGATAGTGGCCCTCTGTACTGAGATCATCCTGCACAGCCTATCCACACTCCCAACACGTCAGGTGGGTCAGTGATCCGATGATTCACGATGTGACAGTCCAGATTTAATTCAGGATCACATGTTTCCTTGAGGGGGTTATAGATGGATCAGAAAATAACATGACATAACTTTGACTCCTTTTATTATAAATACTTAGTCCTTCAAGCTAATTCAGGGCAGGAAGCTAAAACTGAACTGTTTACTGACTCTCATGCTAGACATCACACTCCTCCATCACAAGACAACACTTCCTACAATTTGGCGGTCTATTTAAGTCGTAAAATTTCCGGCCTCTCCCTCTGCTCTGCAGATGCCACCACTCCCCACCAGTACTGCAGCATGCACTGCTTCAGCCTCCTCAACAATGTTAACTCATCACTCTCCACACTTTCAGTACGTCAAATAAATCTGCAAAGAATGATGAGGTTTAAGCCAAACACATTATTCTGCAGTTCAAACCGTTATAATGTGAGCTGTCTGATTGAGCTAATTAGGGTGACCACAGAGGACATGACTACGCAGGGGCGGAGTCACTTAGTCGTACGAAGTTTATTTAGAGAGTTTTTCGAGTCAGATTGAGTGACTTTTTATGCGCTTTTAACTTAGTAAGTCCCCATGACACAAACTCAAAACTTCCATACAAACATTTAAAGGATTTTATAAACTTCCCAAGGCCGAACAAGGCCGGACATGTCGGGGTAAAAGAGGATGTATGGTCACCCTAGAACTAACGACCTGGATTTAGCTTTTTGTTTATCATATTTGGTCCCTCTGTTTTGAAGTTAAAGACTTTAAAAGGCTTTTTCGCAACTAATTCTGCACAAAAAAGACAAAAATCTACTGTCTAGAACATGTCATGTAGAACATGTAGAACATGTCATCACTACAACAAATCGTGCACACAGACGTGTGCAAGTAAAGAGAAGTTGTTTTTTTACTGTATTCTGAGAATTGGAGGTTGCACCAAAGTATTTATGAGGGATGACCTGCTGAAACGTTTATGCACACACTTTGACACATACATGTAGCTGAGGAATGAGTTTACTCCGAGGAAAAAGCTCTGTTAAAATAATGACATACCTGATGAGTTGGGGCTACACTGTACAGACCTTGAGGTCTAATCCCGAACCCAGACTATCAGCATTCATGTGTTCTCTCTCCCCTCTGTCAGACTCACGAAGTTTGCAGACAACACCATAGTCTATGATCTCACCTGAGACGGTGTTGAGTCTTAGCTGAACTGGATCAGCTGGTCAGAACCACCTGGAACTGAGTGACAGTGGATGCTAGGTGGAGTCCTCTTGAGTCACAGTCCTCAACAGTAGGGTGACCATACATCCTCTTTTACCCGGACATGTCCTCTTTTTTGGGGCGGGCTCTACGGTTTTGTCTGGGGGAGTTTTTAAATGTCCCGGGTTTTTTATGGAGGTTTCGAGTTTGTGTCACATGGAATTAGAAGCATGTAAAAAACACTCAAACTGACCCGAACTCCCAAAATCAACAATGTGTCCTCTTTTTGGGGATTCAGAAAAGGGTCACCCTACTCAACAACCTTGTGCCTATGGGCTCATTCTGGTTCCTGAGATCCACTTTCTCCAGCACACATCCTTGCATACCTGGACCAGGATTCCTGCAGGTTAGAAAGTCGACTTTATCCTACTTTGTCATATTTGGGACATAAAGCTGCTGGCTGAGCTGCCATGTATGACCGCACAGGCGTGTTTTCCTGTCAGGTTTGCTTAGCCATGTCTCTTCATACTGGATTAAGAACATATGTGTAGGTGTGCTGCTTTCTAAAAAAATGAAATGTCCTGCATACTTGAACACATTATGTACGTCCCCTGCAGCGAGAGGGGCCGGGTGAGCAATGGAGACGATGTGAGAGAACGCCACAGTGTCTCCCTTCGCTGTTGGTGTAACAGACATATTTTTCAGGATGTAGCAGCATGTGGGCCCAGTCAGGCAGGCTCTGTTTGTCCATGATGACACATCTCACATCCATTCGTCAACGTCCCTACAGACCGCCACTGACCTTGTGCTCTGCCCGAGTGCATGAAGGGAAAAAAGAGGGAGAGACGCGTTGGGAAGGAGTGATGGAATGTAGTCGCTTGTACGTTCTTGGGTGGTATTTTAATTTGCGGGTGTGCATACTTGTGTGTGCATGTGTCTCAGCAGGACGGCGGCCCCCACTGCTAGCTAACATCCGGTGCTGGAATCCAGGCCAGAGAGCTGAACCCATCAAAGGTGACAGAAGAGAAACCCACCTCCTGAGTGTTGCATCTTCATCTGCTCGTTTAGTCGAGCTAAAAGGTAGCGAGGAGGGAGCGTTCATCACCTTGACGTAGGTGATTGAGATCCAAACATAGCCGGACATTTGTTATTCCAACATCTTAATGATTTTACCTTTTAAGCCACACAAGACTGCAGTCCCTCTAGGTGCCCGGGTGACAGATGGCCGGCCCGGGCAGGGGTCCCTCCTTCTTGAAGTTATAGATGGACAACTTGTCCAAGGCACACACGCTAAAACACACGCACACACACCACAAGGAGAAAAAGGCAATTAGGGCCAGTACGGAGGAAAAGAGCTTGATGATGATGGAGCTTCATGTTCCACGCCTTGTGTCCCGAACACTTTCCTGCACAAAGGGACAAGCCGTGGTTTTTCCAAGGGCATATGAGAGGAAGATAAATGTAGCTGACTTATGCATATCATAAGAGAATCAATCTGAAGGATTCAGGGCGTTTGAATCGACATGTACTTACTGTAGGTCACGTCAACACATGGTTCAAATTTATGGATTTATGTCGAATGTTTGAAACAGTAAACATTAACCCTAGTAGTTCCACGAGCTGGTCGTAGATCCTGAACAGAAATAAAGACCTGTATTTGACATATGATCATGTATGTCAGCTGGGTCGGCAATCAGTTTCAAAACATCACAAATTCAGCTTCTGTGAAGGATCTGCAGGATCTCTCAGTTTCTAGCCTGAGTCCTCATACAGATGACGGGGTTGTATGATGGCTTTTGGTTGGAGGGAGCAGCAGATTGATGCAGATTGATGCAGATCAATATGAAGTAAGGAGTGATTTTGCATTTGCATCACTACAGGAGCAAATTCAACTCATTCAAAATAAGCTATATTTTAATAAACAGGCTGCAGAATCAGTTTTTTGGATCTATTTTCTTAGGGCTGCAAAGCTAGGGAGTAAATAAAGGGTGGCCATACGTCCTCCTTTACCCGGACATGTCATCCTTTGCCCGGTCTTGTCCGTGGAGTTTATAAAATCCTTCAAATGTCCGGGGTTTTGTTTGGAAGTTTTGAGTTTGTGTTGTGTGGACTAACTGAGTAAGAAGCGCGTAAAAAAACACTCGATCCAACCTGAAAAACCCTCAAAATTTACTGCGCGCAACTCTGCGACTCCACCCCGGAGTGTCCTCTTTTTGGGGATTCAGAATATGGTCACCCTAACTGTATATGTATGGGAAGGAAAAACACGCTTTCGATGATATTCAACCTTTAAAACTGCACAACCATTTGATTTAGCCTTTTGTAGAAACATAGAGATATCGGTCAGGAACGTAGTTTGATTGATTTCGACATCTGTTCAGACTTTTCAGGACCTTCTGGTTTGCATATCCTCCCTCATATGAAGCTCATTTATAGTTTATTTCCTACTGGAGCGTTGACACGAAAGTTCTGCCTCCTTCTCACTCAACTATGCGTCAAACTTTAAAGGTAGGACAACAGCGCCCCAAAAGTCTGTGTCAATATTTTACTTTGAAAATGCCAGTGAATAAAGGCGCAATATTCCTAACACGAGCGGTTGGATTTCAAGAGGCTCAGGAGCTCCATCACAGATTTTTTCTGTCTTTCATATTTCTTTGCTGGCCAGATTTCAAATGACGGCACACAAAGACAGCCTCTCCTTCACCTTGCTTTGCGGGAACTCTCTGATAGTCCCTACAGAAGCAGTCAGGCCACACGCCATTAGTGCCTACCAGGAAGAACTCACAAAATATCAGACAGCCACTCAAAATTCCCATCATTCAAGGTTTGCTTCGCCGCCCAAATTTGGACATCCTGATCACTTAATGGAGCGAGTTATTTTAATCATCAAACTTCAAACTGGAGAGGCTTTCTTCGATGTTTTTATCAGTGAGCTCGTCTAACTAAGAGAGCCCCTCTGTCTCCCGGAGGAATTGAAAGCAGCTCAGACGACGGCAGATGCATCTGTCTCTGAGCCTCAGCCTGATTGATTCAGAGCCCAAGCCTGCAAACAAATTAAAGACTTTCTATCTTGTAGATCTTAATCTTAATTGTCTCCAAATCTCGAGAGTTAATCAGCGAATACTTTTACGTGATGATCTACCAAATGCAACCAAAACTTTGATTAGATTAGGTTCAGACTATTTCTGAGGCTCCAGTTCAACCAAAACTTGTAAAAAGTCTCGTGGAAGTGTAGAGTAGGGAGATGAAATGCTTTGATGAAGTTTTGGGCCGTTTGGGGGTGTAAATCAGGCCGGTGCTGACCTGTATATTAGCTCTTTATGTCGTGTTTATGACCGTAGACAAATCAGTTAGCCTGCAGGATATTTACACCAGGTCCCTGACAGCCTCTCTCAGCTCAGCGGTGCTTAAGCTCACTGCGTGATGGTTAACCCCCCTCGCCAGATCCCAGACTCAGCCACACACACACACACACACACACACACACACACTTTCCCCGGGTCCAGTTATTTATGGTATGAGTGTACAGCCACCTTCCGTCCAATTAAAGCTGAGTGCTGGCTTTGTCCAACCCTCTGTTCATCATTTCCCTCATGGGGCTGATGGGGGTGGAGGGGGAAGACTGTACTCTCTCGCTTTCCATCTGACCCACTCTCAGGGGGTCAGCAGAGTCAGCGTTCAAGGGAAACACAGCTGGATTTAACCCCCTTCATATACATTATCCTCGCACTCCTCCTCCTCCACTCTTCGGTTTGTAGACCCTGAGGTTAAATTGGAAATCAACCAGCTGCATTATTCTTCTTAATGCGGCTCCACCAGTTATTGATGGTGAGGTTTAACGGTTCTCACAGTCCACATAGGTCCAGTACCATGTTCAGGCCAAACCACAATCCACAGTAGCATTCGGACTCAAATTTATAGGCTTGTGTACGTTAAATTGAGAATCCAGAAAGGTTCAGGTGTGAATTTCATTCCCAGATCTGGTGTGAGGTGTCCAACGGGGCGGCAGGGGGAGTTTAGTACAAGAATTTTCCACCACAAGCTGATTCAGCTCGCCGTGCCAGCCGGGGACCTCAGGGGACACGACTGGCAGACCCCCCACCATAAACAAAGCAAGGCCTTCTTCACACCGGTGAAGCAAAAATTATGTAAAATGAATGTGACAGTAGATTCAGAACCATCAAAGTCAACCAAAAAAAGACCATTATTTCGTATTTTGCAGACAAACAGGGAACTTTCTTGTCTCTTGTTGATCTTTGGTTGCCTCTTATTGGACACTACCGTCAAGGGAACAACAGAAGAAAAATATGAGACCATGTAACTGGTTGTTTTTTATCACAACAATTTGATAAATAATCATGTTTTATGTTTTCAGTGGTATATCACTGTGGATTTTTGTGGCTGGGTGTAGAAATGTCTGGAAACCCTCGATAGATCGCCAAAAGGGTAAACTTTTGAGCGCTTTTCATCCCGTAGAGATACACGCTATAGTTCCTGAGAAACTGTAAACAACATTCATGGTTTCACGTGGGAACGCCAGCGATCCAGCGGAGTTTAAGTGTTGGGTATAATCACGGCTGTGAGGATGCAGACCAGCGCGGGGAAAACCTGACACCAGAGTTCAACTTTATGATGACAATTAATGGACACTCGGCTCGTCCTATAGTCTCTGTGGTGGCGCAGAGGTCAGAGGTCATTTCCCTCCATGCACAGAGGGGAAAGTCAGAGCTAATGCTGACTTCCCATACCGCCTGCACATATATCACATTGTCATGCTAAACCAGCGCTGGCGAGCCTCCGAAGGGCACGACCCGGGGTGGGAGGATGCATCAGAGCAGGGAGCATGTCAGCGCTGTAGACCTGGACTCTAGAGGACTGGGATGGATCTCTTTTTTCCTTCTCCTTTGACTTATTCTACTTTTAACCCTTTTTTTTTTGCTTTTCCCTCTGCTAGCCCTTTTTTTCTTCTCATGCCATCTCTATTTTGGTCTTCATTTTTCTTCTTTGCTTTCTGGCGAACGAGGAGACCAGAGGGAAGTTTAAAATAGATGGATCCTAATCTTTCCTCTGGAGCTGCATTCCTACTCGGAGCCGGGCAATCTCGTATATCAGAAAATAGAATAAATATCCAGATTATTAGCATTCCCCATGTCTCTGATACTCACACACATAAACAGGACTTTTCCGTTAAACCCTCAAACCACGACCTGCCGGTACACAGAGATCCTAAAGGAAACACACAGCCGGATCTCTGCTTACTGGGCTTTAAACATCTCCAAAAGGAAGAGCCTGTTTCTGCTCCTCTGATAAACTCTGGTGGTCTCAGGTGTCAGAGTCAGAGAGGTGATTTCTGTTGGAGAGAGGCCAGAAGCACACTCAGCTCTCCTGTAAAGCACTCAAACTTACCCAGGACAACTCTTTGTTTTTTTTTTTTATAGTATTAAAATAAGGCGTATGTGATTTATACATGAATTATTCTAATTTACACTTTAATCGTCAAACCAAACCCACCATGAAGGAGCTTTTCACACAGCATTACTTCTTATGTTTGGTATTTCCTGTTTTATTTTGTAGGATCCTCTCCCACTGTGTCTGGTTTGGCTTTACTTCCTGTGTTTTCCCTCCTTTTTGATTGTGTGGCCTCCTTGTCCTCACCTGGGCCTAGTCTCACCTGTTTGTCACCTTCCCATGTGGTCCTGTGGATTTCTCTCAGCTCTGTCGGAGATCTGGATTTTCTCCCTGGACTCTGTTACAGTAAGACTCTAGTTTTTTTCCTGCTTGGTCTTTGGCTGTGGAGTCATGTTGTTGTTGTTGTTGTTGTTGTTGTTGCTCCTGGGTCAGCTGTGCTCAGGTAGACTCAGGGATTTTCCTCATGTGGTAAAAAGAAGCGTTACTGAAAACAGTCACTGCTTTAGATTTCATCCTGTAAAACTCTGACAAACATAAAACTGTAATTAGTCCGAACAAAAGCTCTGAATGATGATGTTTCCTCCTCACTCTGATAGGCTGCTCCTGCTCTCTCTCTCTCTGTGTTTATACGTATGTATGATGTGAAGTAAGGACAAGACACATTATCCATCAATCATCTCTGGAAATGAAACGTCTCCCTCTGCCTCTGTAGTTTAATCTTGCGCAGTGACAAAAACACACACACACACACACACACACACACACACACACACACACACACACACACACACACACACACACACACACACACACACACACACACACACATATACACACACACATTTGACCTCAGTTTCATCATGCCACAATGCACAGCGCTATCTCCTTCACAATTATTCCCTCCACCTTCCTCCTCCTCCCTGGTGTGTTTCATACTCACAGAGAAACTCTCTCTCCTCTCCTCTAACCTTCTCTTTGTTTATCTCCTCTTTTCTTTTTTCTTATATCCACTCCTTAAAAGTGTCCTCACTTCCTCCCTTCCTCCCTCTTTTAAGTTAATCTCAGTTTCTCCTCTTTTTGTTTCTCTGTCACTCCTCTCTCCTTTTTAAAGCTCATAGCTCCTCTGTTTTCTCACCTTTGTCCTTTTTTTCTCTTATGTGCTTGTCTCCTTCCCTCTCTCTTTTTATCTGTCCTTCATTTCCTCTTAGTGTCTCCTCTCTTATCCTCTCCTTACATCGTCTCTTCTCATGTACGACCAAGAATTTTATCTCTTTTCCTTTCCTCTCATTTCTTCTGACGTCGTTCAACTTTTTCTCACCATTCCTATCCTCTCCTTCTTTATTTCCTCTCATAACTCCCTCTATCATTTTCTATCTATTCTTCTTTTCCCACCTCTTTCTCTCTCTCTCTTTCTCTCTCTCTCTCTCTTCCTCTCGTTCTCTCCTCCCTCTTTGTCTCATTTCCTCCCTCCTCCTCTCCTCTCCTTGTTACCTGTTCTGCAAAATAAGCTGTCAGACCCAGAGATGATTGACGACTCGAGGTGGACCGGACCCTTCCCTCCCTGTAGCTGTCACTCAGACTGTGTGTAGATGTGTGCGCGCGTAGTTGTGTATGTATGTGTAGGTGTGTGTCAGCAGGCCGGCGGGTAATAGCACTGACACAGCAGTCTCAGTATGAGAGCGGAATATCGCCGCGGCGTTCGGCTGATGATTAGATTGCTTGGACTCAATCAAACGGCGGATGTTGTCCTCGGCAGTCGAGGAAATGATTCAGCCTCTCGTGTGTCTCCAAAAGAAACTCTTTGGAGCAAGAATATAAAAGACAGCCAATAATTAATTGAGGAAGTCGAGATAGAGGAAGAGAGGGGAGGGGGGATTACAACCAAATGTCACTGACAATTAATTTTCTTTTGCACAAAGGCAGAAAATGAAGAGCGGCATAATCTGCTCAAGTCAATCAGATTTTAAATCCCTGTGACAAGCAGGATCTATGATTAAGTGGCTGCTTCCACGACGCCGTACCTTAATTAATCTATTTTACCTTGTCATCACTTTTGCTTCCTGCGAGTCATTAAGAAGGTACCTTTAATGGAATAACGAGCCGCCGATTTGAAAAGCGGGGCCCTCCATCACCATAAACGTCACTCACTTTGGAGGTAAACCAAGGAGAGAGCAGTCGCCTCTCGGTCCGATCTATCCGCCGGAGTTAAACATACAGTAACTCATCTCTCACTTAACGCCACATCGCTTTGTCACGCCGCTTCGTCTTGACTTTTAAAAATGATGAATTCTCGGTCTCTAAGGAGTGTCATTTTCATGAAAAACTATTATTCACCGTTAAGTTTGGTGTTGCAAGGTGTTTGCCCCAGATAAGTCATCTCCCACCCACCCACACACACACACACACACTCACTCACTATCACACTCACTAACAGTGATAAATAGTCCAGTGTGATTGTGTGTCATCGCTCTCACACATGACATGCAAAACCACAGGAGGTCACAGGCAGGGCTGCATTTAAGAAGAACAGAACAGACAAAGCAGACGTGTTCACACATCAATTATTGTGTCAGGGCAATAAGATCAATAAATTTTAAATTAACCTCATTTTGAATGAATTTTAAAGATGAATATATTGAAGAAAATGGTCGTTAACTTTGTGTGGACGGAGGAGGGTTGGGTCTTTGCTCTGGTGTTGGTGACCAAGTCAGCTGCTTCACTTTCAGGCATGTTGCTTCAGGTTCAAAGACGGCTCGGTTAAATTATCGCTAAGTCCCACGTCCCAAACGCAGATGAGCCAATGGCAGTTTAGTATCAGTTGCACCAGGATTGGAACTTGGACACCTGTAGCTTTCAGCTCCAAAGAGAAGCATAAGAAGTTGTGATTTTCTTTTTGTTTTGTTTTGTTAAATTTAATATAACAGAAACAAACATGGTAAAAAGGTGAGCATGTATTACCGACACAAGGTATCCCAACAGGATGGGCTATGGGGTTTATTTTATATAATTTCCAAAACCAAAGAGAGACCAAAGTAAATACCTGCGAAGGATCAAGTTGTGTGGCAGATCACACAGCCAACTTAACCTCCAGAAGATCAACAAGGACGTCTACGTTTGTTCTAAGTTACGCTAATATATCTTTAAATCTACTAACTTAACCGACAGTTATTTAATCGTCATTAGCGATGCAGTATCAGAGCTTTCGCCTCTGGTAAATTTGCTAACGCTAATGTAAGCCCAGGTTAGCACACTTTCTGAATGACAGTAACATTCAGTGCTTCTCCAGATTAGTTCAAATAATTAAAGGTAAATTAATTTGATCTTACCCTGCAGTACAATAACGCTGTTGGTCTTGGATGTTGTCATCTGCAATTGTGACGACTGTGAGATGGGGTGAATCCGTACCCCCTCGCCTCTAGTTTGACTGTGTTATCACCTACCGCTTCTAATTTTAAACACATCCCTCCATGGCAAACTAAAGTCCCGTTTGAAGGCTTCTTCTTTCTGTGCCCGGAATTTGTTGAGACACTCATGGGGTAGCATTTTTGACACCGGTAGTGGCCATTGTAAGGCACTGGTTATTTTTCCAAGTTAGCAACAGTAACTAAGGGGGGCGGGTCTTAGCGATAGGTCAATTCTGCAGAGTCATGTTCATAATCTGTGGCATATCCCTTCCATGGACACAAACCAGGGTTATAAGCATGGATATTAATGTTGATATGTATAAGGGTAAAACATAAACAGTAAAGCACTCATATCTGGGTCATCTCTGGCCCTTTAATTCCCACACCGATCGCCCTCACACAGTAATCATTCGGAGCATGAGAAAGTGTCGCAGAGCTTCTCCTTCTTCTTTAACTCCCATCTGGAGCCATTTGAACAGTTAAACAGCTGAGCAGCGCTGAGAGGAAACCTTTTTTTTTTTTTTTCCAGTCTGAGTTCAGCTTTATTTACTCTGCTTATCTCCCCTCTGGAATCACCACGGCCGGGCTCAGAGCCGCGCTGTTTATTCAAACTGAGCAAAGAATAATACCCTTCCAGCCGTCAAATCCAGAAGCCTGAAGTCATTTGTGTGTGCACCGGCTGTTTCTAATGGCTTTACAGTCCAAAACCACATACTTGACTTTTGTCCAGCCTTTCACCTCCGAATCAAACTAACTGGTTCTTCGTTGGACCTCTGACTTCTTGGGTGGTAACTGCAGGGAAAATGCTAATCGTGTTTCCAAATGTGTAACTTTGACTTTCTTCAACTTAGTGGACAACTTCACTTTGATTTGGACATTTTCCTCTTTTCTTCTCTTGAACAGCTGTTAAAGTGGTCGGCATGAATAATTAAAACTAGTTTTCCTATGAAGTCTGTTATGGATGTCAATAGTACCGTGTCAAAATACGCAGCTATAAGAAGATTTCTGGCTTCGTCCTTTAGTAATGATTTACAAATGGCCGATGTGGTAGAGGAGAATTTCGTAGAGGTTTGGGGCAGGTGGCCGCAAATAGTCTGAGGACAAAGAATGGGTCCCAGTCACCAAACTGGACAGACTTGTAAAGGACATGATTATCAAGACCCCAGAGGAGGTCTACCTGTACTCTCTGCCCATCATGGAGTCTAAGATTCTTCTCGAAGTGCTCAAGATCATGCCTGTCCAGGAGCAGACTCGGGCTGGTCAGCATCCCAGGTTCGAGGCCTTTGTTGCCATTGGTGACGGCAACCTCGAGGCCTTTGTTGCCATTGGAAACGACAACCTCCATGTGGGTTAGGGAGTAAAATGCTCCAAAAAGGTGACCACAGCCATCATTCTGGCCAAGCTGTCCATCATCCCAGTGAGGAGAGGTTACTAAGGTAACAGGATTGGAAAGCCCCACACCGTGCTCTGCGAGATGATTGGTTGTTGCGACTTTTTCCGGTGCGTCTCATCCCTGCTCCCCATGGTACTGGTATTAAGTCTCAACTTCCCCCAGGTAACAGTCAGAAAACTACTTTAGGGTTTACAGTATGTCCATATAATGTGCTGCTCTCTCGCTTTTCAATTAAAAGTCAATGTGGCTCGCCCATCGCCCACCTTTCTACCTCCTCATTTGCATTTTTAAATAAAGAACGAAATCTGGGTGATCAAGTTAGACGTGAAAACAAAGGACATTTTTTTCTTCCGAACATTTCAACCCTGATGACTTTCATATCTATGCAAAACTAAACGTCCATCAATCAGATCTGACTCCAGCTGAATACTCTGATGACATCTGAAGTGTTTTACATCAGATCTAAGTATGTAGGTCTGTTCAGGGTTGTGCTTCAAGCTGATAAGGCCGACCGAGGAAGTCCCGTCCCAGCATCAGAGGGTGAGAGAGGAAACCGGGGGTCAGCTCACGGACTCAGATAAACTACATTCCCTGGCAAATAACTCCGCCTCCAAAACTCTGCTCGCCAATCCTTTCTCTTCCAATCATAACAAAGAGGGGAGACATGCACGAAAATCTTTCACATGAGATAATACGTACATGAGACTGCCTCTCTCTTTCTCTAAATCCCAGCCTCACTCTCTCCTGTGAGTTCGAGGTGAGCCTGTAATTTCGGATAAACCACTTGTCTGAGACTTGCTGCCTCAGTGCACACAGTTTGCCGGACGAGAGTAAAAGATGTTGTGCGGGAGATGCATCCCTCTGATGGAACAACAGATTAGTGCAGGAGGAGAGTATTGGCTCGGTATCACAGCCGTGTCAGTGCAACAAATAAAAGAGAGCTGTATCTCGTCTCCAAACTATGTCAGCCTGCAGTGTGCATGAGAAAAACGCAGCTCTAACCTCTGCAGCTGGACGTTTAACTGCACTCTTCAACCCAAATCAGAGCCTTCGTCATTGTTCGGGGTTTTCTAATCACTTTTCGGTTCATGCACGGCTATGGGAAGTATCTAAACTACTAAAACCGAATATGTCCTGCAAAAGAATTGTTTTATCTGCAGATTAATGACGAATGGAAAGTTTGTCTCTTTGTCCCTCCCTATTAGCCTGATTCCCACTAACTTGAACCTGTTTACTGACTCAGACTGACTCAGAAAGAGAGGTTGCTTTTGATGGAGTTAGAGATGCCAGTGTTATTCTTACCTGCATGCCTCAGTATTCTGTCGGAGTCAAGGACATGGAGGGATTGTGTAAAAGCCCTTAACTCCAGCTTTAGAGCCACTGAGACACCACAACCTTTGCCCTTGACCTTGTCAGCAGTGTACCAGATGGTGAACAGAGACTCAAAGTGCTATCACAGAAGTACACCAACATTTTCTTTGGCTGATTGGACGTAGAAGTCCATCTTTCTTTCCTGCTGAGGCGTGCTTCGGCATTTAGAGCTATGTAAACTTGCAGAATGTGACACCATGAGAACCCAAACACTGACTGTATTAAAGACAATGTCAGGATGTGCTTCTGTCCGACTTCCCAGTATTACTGCTACTGTAGGCACTGAGCTGTTTTAAGGGCAAACGGTGCAACAATCCAGGACCCGGCCGGAGTACTTAGTCGCTGCTGACGCTGCTGGAAGTCTCCTAATTTAGGCGCTGATGACCATCCTTTTGTCGAGTTAGAAATACGCGCAGTAAATCATGCATCAGCAGTAATTTGGAGCCTCGAGGGCGTGTTTCAACATGTGATTATTGATGCATGGTTAGATCTCACGACTGGCCTCTGGCTGTCAGCTGTCAGATCTCTGAAAAAAACATCTAATTAAATTTACCCTTTCAAAGTCAAAGATTTACAACGATTTATAACACTTTACTCCACCTCAATTATCTCACTGCGCAATCATTAGGAGCACCTGAGGGAAAGTAAACACGTGTCTGTCATGTGAATGTCATACGATCGGGTTTGTAACCGTGTGGGAGAGAAACCTCCGACGCCACAGGCCGACATCATCCCTGGACCTCCGCGATCAAAGCACAATTAGTTTCTATCAGATCTTTTTCTTTGTCACGTAGAAAAGTACTTTAAAGTCTGTTAGATTAATGGGAAAAGTTTTATTTTTTAAGTGACTGCCAATTTGGAAATATAAAAGAGTCTGGAGCGTTTCAAACAAACATGAGTATTACATTTAACCTCCAAGCATTTCTGTAATTCAGCCCTTCATTTCATACTTTCAGATGTTTCCCACTGAAGCTCAAACATTGTTATTATCATATTCTGAGAGGGCAGCAGGGCTCAAACAACGCTCGGGCTGATGCCGTTTTTGTGACTGAACTAAAGAGCTGTTTGAAACTGGCAGAGATTAAAACTGGCCTCAGAGTTTCACAGCGTCAAACACACTAAACCACGATGGTATAATGTACCATAAAAACGTATCACAGGCCTGTTGATCGAGCTGGAAAAATATAATGGGTACTTTTCCACTTTGTAATGTTGCAGCGGCTGTTTGCAGCCTAATAGCTTTTACTCAGGGTTAAAAAAAAACAACAACCAAATTACAGTGCGACCACACTTCTGGGTCAGAACGTATTCTGCTCTGTTTCAATCCGACAAACCTCACTGATGCTTTTACAGCTCTGTTAACATGATCCCGGTTCAGAGTTGCAGCACATTTCCCATGTGACATTTTTGTGATTTAACTCTGACAGAAAGATAAAGGTGCATGATGGACACGTATCAGTCACGTATCATGAAGGATGACAAACAGGGAGAGGAAGAAAAAAAGAGTCGTCTTGCACATTAAAACCAAAAAGATTATGCACACTTGACAATTGGCAAAAAAAATGATGAGCATTTGTACTGGAAACTAAAGAAACTAGAGATTAGCTCAACATTTTATTAACATATTTTTAACCCAAAATAAACAAAACGCCCCTGCTTAAGGCTAATGAAGACGCCTTACAATGTAAACATTAGATGATTTAAACGTAGATGATATGATTGATTGCTGTTTTGGTCTGGTAGCTGCACCGCTAGTTGTAGCTAAACTGCTAATGCTACTTGTGCCGTCAGCAGTGTTAGGCTGTACAGACTCCGCTCACATTTTTATGCTTTCTGCATAATCACTCAGGAAATACTTCCTCAAATGATTAATAAACATATCTGTTGTGTTGCTGGTTTTTGAGGGCACTGACCGCCAACATACCTTACACATCAGCTTAATTGCTTGACGTCATTTTGGAGATACCTGAACCACCGCCACATAACCGACATTGAATAACTTTTCTTGTCAACAATGGCATCTTCAGAGGATGACTCAAAGTCGTGTTTAGCTCCACCTTCGGTCATTCTGTTTACTTCCTGTTTACTTCTCCAGCAACTAACAGAAGTGAAGCAGGAGAAGCTTGACTCTGATTGGCTGTTGTCATGCAGATTTCTGCTATGTTTGATCGGGTAAATGAGCTAACAGCTGATCACTGTAAATGAAACTGAAATTTATCATCATATGATCGCCCAGTCCAGGCTTGACTTGATGTTTTCTGCTCCAAAAAAAGTGGTAGATTCGTTAGAGTCCTGATCCATAGAAATATAACAATCTAGATCCTGTTTTTGCACACAGGGTCCCATAGTTTGATTCCTATGCAGGGCTTTTACAATTGAAAGTAATTGTACAAGCAATACTTTAGCGGTCTGGTCATGTGCTTATGCCAAAGCTAAGGCAGGGAGAGCAGCAGCAAAGACCCTCTAGAGTGTCTTTTTTCTTCTTGTCTTTTGTTGGCATTCAAACAGGCAGATGGTTAAACTGACCAAATCAAAAAGCTCCTGATAAACACACGTGAATTACAAACACATCCACACAAGTTAATTATCTCCAGCCTCCTCATAAACTGTACAGCTCTCCTCGTTTAAGCAGCAATTATCCATTAACCACTTGATCAGCACTCCACTCCATCAGACCAGCCACCTCCACGCTTGTGTTTGTTCCAGCTGAATCAAAGGCCAACATTAACATCTGCTATAGGGTGCCGGTGTCTTAACTCCTGTCTGCTAATAAATGCAAATGATGCCATGTGTCATCCTATTAGCAGAAAGCCATTTACAGTGCAGCGGCCCTCTGCAAACACACTCGCTCTCTCCTCCTTTGCACACGTCCTGCAAACCTAATGAAGATCGGCTCATTTGTAACTCCAACATGCTCCCTTCAATGTCGCGCCGCTCTTTTATTTTACGCCAGATTCTCGTCTTTGAGTCAAGGTAAACACCGTCAGTCTGCGGATCCACCAATGACACCTTGACCCCCAAACGCCCTCCTCCCCTCTGCTCGGCTAACACTCACTCTCTTCCCCCTTTTTTGTCCATCTAAGAGTCATTTTCATTGACAATGAACCCTTAAAAAAGCTATCAACCCTAAGAGCATGACTTGTCAAAGATGGATACCCCTGGTGCCCCGTAATCAGCTGGTAGAGAGGGGATGAAATAGAAACCGCCGGCTCGGTCGGCTGTCTTTTCCTCTCCATCCTTTCCTACATTGTTGTCTCTCAGATCAGGCTAAAGGAGGCAGTGATAGATTGAGGTTGTCATTCCCTAAGAGGAACCCTGGCTTTGCATATTACCCCTTTTCTCCATCACTTTAATGAAAACACCGAGGAGATACCTGGCCTGCAAATGATGTATACACCCCAGAGCGCCGTGATATCTTTATCCATCAGGCTGCCTCCTTTCCCTGGGCTGTAAATGTGTCTCATGTGGCTGCACATAGCACCACATCCCAGGACAGCCTCTCTGTGTGGCAGAAATGTGCGACATGAAACCCCATTGTCCTTCCAGGGATACACATTAATGTTTAAGTTCCATCTGCGGTTTGTGAAATATTGCTAGAATACCCCGGAAAGCCTGGCTGTTTATGGTCAAGGATATCGCTGCGCCCCCCCATAAGGGTGTAATGACTTTTTATGAGGTTACCTTCCTAAATTAGGTTTACATTGCAGCCATGGCAAGTTCAAGGTGGTAATCATTCCTGCTGCTTTTACTCCCACCATCTAAAAACAGGGATGCTCAAACCAGACCGAGTCGGAGGAGTCGGAAAAAGACGCATTAGCTAAACAAACTCGCAGATTTGAGTTTAAAGGGTTAAATTAGCTATATTTATCAGCCACAGAGAGTTCAAGGTGAAAATCATCGTGTTGTTATTAGAGGTCATTCATCCTGCAGCACTTGTACAAACTCTAAAAGGCCCGTGGACAAAAATATGCTTTGAGTTTGAGCACTAATGAGGAAATTAGTCTCTGGGTAAACCTTAATTTGTTGTTGGTCAACTGCTAATGAACATTATGCTGCAGGGAATTCAGTTTTTTCCTCAGTGAATGACATTGGTAGCAAATCAAAAGTGCGGAGAAATACCTCAGGATAGCAATTAGGCTCTAATTCAGCCTAAAAAGTCCCAACTGTTGTGTGTCCAATTGCATTTTGTGACAGTCGCTCCAACACTTGCTTGTGAAGCCCGTGTCTCTTTCAGGGCCTCAGGGAAAGTCGAGCGTGTCGTCTCCTTCTCTCTCTCTTTCTCTCTCGGCGCTTTGTCTCCATCCTCTAAATGAAACTCAGGAGTTTGAGAGTCACAGCTGAGACCGCTCATGACCTCCTCCCGCTGACAAATACTCCAAACTGGAAACCATCCCTCACGCTCGGCTGCTTTCACGCCTCGTACAGAACTCAGTTTCTCACCTTCGCCAAGGTCAGCCGTTTGTCTCATTCATAAATCGGCTTTTTGTCTCATGTTGAGAAAGCTGAATATTGTTTTTCTGCTGGTGTGTGACTAAACTGGGTCAAAATAAGTTTGAGTGCCTGTCTGGAGATCTTTATTATATTCATCCTAGCTGTTATTAATGTGAAAGGAGTTTTAGAAGATTTTCAAATTGCACTTTCATGATTTGTCGTCATTTTTTTCGCTTATCCGGGTCTTAGGGGCAGCAGCTTCAGGAAGGAAGCCCAGACGGCCCTCAACCCAGCCACTTCCACCAGCGAGGTCAGATATAATCCATATAGAGAGATATAATCCCTCCACCTGGTCCTGGGCCGTCCACAAGGTCTCCTCCCGGTGGGACATGTCCAGAGCACCTCTAACGGGAGGCGTCCAGAAGGTGTCCTAGCTGCCTAGCTCTCGACGTTGAGTAGCAGCGGTTCTACTGTGAGAGCCTCCTAAGTGTCCAAGCTCCTTACCCTATCTCTAAAGGTCCTTACACACCAGCAAATTTGCGGATCGAAGCGAAAAAGCGAAACGAAAATGCGAATATTCGCCGGTCCGAAAAATCGCTTCGCTTATACACACCGGGCGACCACTCTGTGGTACACACTCTCTCCCATCGTTGCTCTTGGTGCTCTTGACATTTGATTGGCCAGAGGTCTAGCAGGTCCTGATATTCGCCTGCGAATCTCCAAAAAATTCGACACGAGCGAAAAAAAAAAAGACGCTTTTCGCCCCGCGGAAAATTCGCCGCCGGTGTGGAAGCTTGCATTGACTTTATGCCATTTTAAAAAAGCCGAGTAATTCGCCTGGCGAATTCGCGCCTGGTATGTAAGGACCTTAAGACTGAGCCTGGCTACCCTGCGGAGGAAACCCATTTCAGCCACTTGCGATCTCGTTCTTTCGGTCATTACCCGAAGTTCATGACCATAGGTGAGGATCGGCACGTAGATCGACCGGTAAATTGAGAGTCTCGCCTTATGGCTCAGCTCTTCTTCACCACGACAGATCAGTTCAGCGTCCGCATCACTGTTGATGCCGCTCCGATCCGCCTGTCGATATCCCGCTCCATCCTACCCTCACTCGTGAACAAGATCCCGAGATACTTGAACTCCTCCACTTGAGGCAGGTCCTCCCCTCTGACTTTTATGATCTTTCTGTTTTAAATGTCTGATCTGCTGGAGTATGAGAGGAATCGCCGTTATGAAAGGATGTTTTATTGGACGGTTTTCTTCACTTTACAGCGTTTTCTGGATGATTCTAGTTGATCTGGTTTGTGTATTTAGACAGCCCCAGATTGACAGCCCACTTCATTCAAATCTCTCTTTGGCAGCTAATCCTGCTTTTGTTTGTTTTTTTTCCTCTCTTGAACACAGTCCACTCTTTTGTCTCCTCTCTCTTCGCCCTCCTCCCCTTAGCCTCATAACTCTTGTAGTTTTTATACCCTTTCATCCCGGCTCTGATGTCGTCCACCACTTTTCCTCTCGCTCCTGTTGTTCTTATTTTTCAGACCACACTGAGGCAGGAACAGTTGCTCGACCAGAGGGTGATTTTATTTCTCGATATTTAACTTGACCATCTCGAGAACAGCTTTTTGCTTCAACAAGGTCAAACCTTCAGCCGTTTCCAGGAAACAAATCTTGTTCAAACTCAGATTTCACAGCCTGCAGCTTCGGTCAGGGTCATAAAGATCACCTTGAAATTCCAGCTCAGACTGGACTCTGAAAGTTTGATGTATGTGGTGTAGACCGGCGGCACAAAAACAAGGTGCAAACTATCACAAATAAGCTGAAAGTTTTTACACTAACAATCATGTAAATGAACTTTTGAAGTCGTCTGGAATTGTTGATGCGTGTTTGTTTTTCGGATGATTCAGCTCGAAACTCACCCTGGAGCGACTCGAACAAATCCTTTGATGGTTTTCACTGTAAGCGGCGAGCTGACTCACTGGGAAATGTCACGACCCCCCTTTACTTTAGATCCTCAAACACAGCTCGCACACTTTGCTGTTTCTGCTCTTCTCACGGATATATTGTTGTCGTATTACTCACTGGCAGATCATTATTCACTTGGGGGCAGATGTCCTTGTCCTTGATCAACATATGGTTACCTTTATAGTCCCAAGGGCTGTATGGGAGATCAGATGGAAATCTGCTTACAGTGTAGCTTCAGAAAAAAGTTGGTGTAAAACCACAGGACTGTGGATCATGTGGGGGAGGTACTGGATCTTACAGGGTTCACACAGGCTTAGATTTAGATGAGCAAACAGACAAACTCACACGTTCATCCAAACTGTAAATACGTTCATGCACAAACATGCGATTTGTTAATTAATCTAAGAGCTGAGGTCAAAAGGACGGAGGGTAAACAGGCAGATGAGTCTCCTTTGGTTCTCCTTTGGTGCACTGGTTGGTTTAGCTCAACAGCCAATTAGGTTTACTTCATGACCGGTCTTGAGGTGCACTTGCAGGGAAAGAGGAGGACACCGGGTTGCTCTAGTCAGAAGTAAGACTGGTAGACCGGGATGTGTTTGAGTTTTGGTGCACTGGTACCTTTTGGACTTTAAATGTTTTCCTCCAGCTTCCTCTCCAAGTCCAGAGATGTGCTCGTTAGGTTAAGTGGTGGCTTTAAATCGCCTGTAAGTGTCGTGGTGAGTGTTGGGATCGGCTGCAACCTCCCTTATCTTGCCTGGAGCTCTGAGTGGTGATCACGGTTGTTGAGATATCACACTAAAAGTTTTAAAAACCTAACGGCGAGTGGAAATGAGAGACATACACGCAGATTATGATGGATTTAACTCTTTGTTCTTGTGTTGAGCGGACAGCAGCTACAAAACCAAAACAGCACATCAAACAAGGACAGATTTGATTGCGCAAACGACTAGGATCCAAACTCACGAAGCTGGAAATCTTTGGAAATCTCTTACTTTCAGAAAGGACTTTGAACCAAACAAACATGCTGGATGATGGGCAGGAAGAAAAGGCAACAATCTACAGACATCATGTTAATATTATTTAAAGAAACGTACAAAATCACTCAAAACAAACCTCAGCTACAGCAGAATCCTGGACGTTAATCTATGAAGCAGAAAAGAGTCCAGATTTTTATAAGGTTTGATTATCTTAAAATTTAGGACTCCATAAATCCAACAAAACCTCTGACTTTAAGCGTCCACTCCTCCAGGTGTCCTCCTTTAAGGGATTTCTGAGGATGTTAAACAGGTAGAAGGTTGTTGGATCCCCCCAAAATTGGTAAAAAGTTCCAGAAGAAAAAGACACTTGGACGACCTTGCCTGACTGGAAAGACGGTTTCAGCAAACAATGGTATAATAGTATGCATATGGTTTACTCTGCGCTCTTCATTTTCATGCCGCCCACCATCATCATCAGCACTGCGGGGCAAAGGTACTCCAGCAGAGTGGAACAGAAGCAGGTCTGAATCAGCAGTGACAGTCAAAACAAATGAGAGGGATAAATGGAGCAGCTGTTTTCGATTTTGCTAAATACCCCTTTTCATATAGGCGGCGGTGAAAAATAATAAAGCGACACAATTAGTGAAGCACTCAGTTAAAAAAAAAAAAACTCTCACTGGGTTAATTATAAGCGATCTGTTAAGAGAGAAAGGGAGAAAAAAAAACACAAAATGGGAACCTGTTAGAGAAGGTCAGCCGAGGTCGCTCCATCTGCAAGCGAAAGTAGTTGTTGTTGTTGTGAGGGAGGAGGCGGCGCCGCCACCCAGAGAGTGACCGCCGCTCGCCGAACAAGAGCTGAATGAAAAAACCAAGGTGTTGAGAAGCAACCGGCTTTTAATGTGTTTAACAACGCGGTAAATGATGTGATTAAGCGCAGAATCAGACTGGAAAGCTTTCCACCGTGGTGTTAAACACGAGGCCTGACAGGAGGGTAAGATGTACAGAGAGAGAGAGAGGGGCGAACAATGATGTCGGTCTGTGACGAAACGGACCGTAAAACACCACTTAACTCCTGAATGATAGCTGCGTCTGTGAAACTGTAAACAGATAAGGTTAATAGATTCACCAGAGACTTTAAAGTGGGATTTACTCTGAGGCAAACTTCAGCGCGCTCAAGAGGAACCTTAAAGTCCTCGATGACGATCTGAGCAGCGGTTCAAAAAAACTGTTTAGGCGTCCCACCCCCTCACACACAAACCTCTCCCCTCTGTGCTCCACGATAACTCCCCCATGAACCTGTATCACCCTTCCCACGACACACCCCCTCTGGCTGAAGATCCTACACTAGCTTCAAATAGGATTCACCATGTCCGATTGGAGGGACTAGCATCAGTAAATGCAGCTCTGCTAGCGAGCGCTGTCATGTTGACATGTCAGAGACTAAAAAGAGTTATTTATGTAACATGAGCCAGGATAGGCGATAAAAATGACCTGATCAACAAAAACTCTGCTGTCTCGGCGTCTGTTTTCAGGACCATATCCTGGCCGAGCTTTCTCCACCGTTTCAAGGATGACCCGATGTTTATTCGAGTTAGATTCCTCGCTCCGTCACATTTCCTCTTCGTCTCCGCCCTTTCTTCTGTTGGCTTACGTTTTCTTCCCACTTTTGGCGGTGGGGCGGGCAGAAGCATTTTTTGTGTCCTTCTTCATCACAGCTCCTGTAGCTAAGCTGCTACGCTACTTTTAGCCGGTCAGAGCTCCGGGGAGGGCCGGGAGAGTGTGAGGGGACGAGTCGGAACTATGGGAGAGGTGTGTGTTGAATACAGCGAGGTGGCTGGAAGGAGAGGCGGAGCAAGAGATTGACCAATAGGAGCAATAGGATCATTGGACAATGTTTTTGCAGCCCTGAACAGATTTTTTCAGTTCTTTTTTCTCTTCACTTTGTGTAGATCGCACTGTAGAACTGTGATTGCCATAGAAACAAGGTTCCTAATAATTATCAATCTCTCCAATTGTCAACCATAACTTTAATTGTACCAAAATACGTTAAATGAACATTGATCTGAGTTAGCTCAAAAGCTAGTTTCTCATCAGGACACTATTACCAGGTTGAGCAAAAACAAAGAAAAGTACTGTACATCGTATCAGGAAGACCTAACTATACAAGAACATTTGCAGAACACCTGTACATAGATCTTTCTGCGTGCACGCCTGCTGTTTTCAGGTATTTTTAGGTTTTATCTGCTCATATTTTAAACCAGATATTCATTCTGTTTTACGCTCTTGCATCCTTCACAAACCAGCATGAAGCATTTCCATCTTTCATGCATTGCAGCTCCTTGTTCATGCCTATAATATGACACTCAAGTTTATTTTATGACGTTATTGTATTTTTCTTCTTCTCATAATTACCATTTCTTAAATATTGAGCAAATAAAAGTAAAGTTATGAATCTGTGTTACAAATGCCGTACACATGTTTCACACCATCTGATAAAAGCCGGTGTATTGCATTACCCTCTGTCTGTGAACTCTGCATGTAAGCATATAAATGAAAGGCTGTAAACTGTACTTGAGAAATGGTTGCTTATGAGAGCTGTCTGTATGCAATTTAAAGGAGTAATGGAGGCGAACCCGCAGAGCTTGGCTGTAGCCACCAAAAAGCGTTGATGTGGGTACTATATCATTACAGTATATGATTACAGCAAAGGCTAAGGGAGGTGTTTTGGCTAGCATGGCTGCCAGTGTGACTTATTGGTGGTAAAAAATTTCCTGCATGAATGGTGTTTCTAAATCCGACCAATTTGAGGTGCCATCACGCTAAAGGAATGCCGTCTTTGGAGCGTATATGAGCTGCCATGTTACGTTTGTACTCCAGCAGTATTGTAAATGCTGACAGGCCAGTCTTCTCTGGAAAAGATCATGTACGCGGGACTCAGAGCAGGAAGGAGCTCCACGTCAAGACCCTCAGACGGCCTTTGAGAGGCTTGAAGCTGGCAGGGTCTGTTTGAAAAACAAGCCCAACCCTGTTTGACCTCCAAGTCCCTGGCGAGTAACTTCTTACCTCATTTGTGACACCTCGATGGGCCCGCCCTCCTCCAGACACAGAGAAGAGCGGATAACACTCGTAGAAGGGTCATCCAAGCTTTTTTTAAGTCTACCCTGTGATAGAGAGCCGCTGTGAAATGACTTCCCCTTGTTTGTTATCTTAAAGCTTAGACAGACAGGGTGAAAAAGATACTTGGCACACACCGCTGTGTACGTTAGCGCCGCTTTCACAACCCTCTCTCTTTCTCTGGCCTTCAGTTCTGAGCCAAACTCCACGGTCCGAGCTGCGTGGTCGAGGTAGCTCCTGCCCAGCTGGAATAATAAGAGCATGGATGATACTTCCTCCATTAACAACAGGGAGGAGAGGTCAGGAGGGGGGTCAGCGGGCCTCTCTATGAGACCTGCCCGTGACATGCAGCAGCACTCACAAACAAAGGCTGGAAGGAGGGACGGGGACAGAAGGGGCTGTTGGCACTACTTGAAACACACTCCTTATTTGATGCTTTAGAAGCTGTCAGAAGAAAAGAAACTCACAAACTCAAACACACACACACACACACACACGCACACACATGCACATTCATCCAGTACTCAAGATGTTTAAGAGGCAGAAGGAAGAAAAATCAAAGGGCGCCTGCTGTACACATCGAAAGACTCTGAGAGTATTATTTTTAAGAGGAAAACCCAGACTAACTATCAAACAGATAATTGGGTAAAATTAACATGTGGGCACTTAATTTACATTTAATCCACCCAAAGACAAACCAAAGAGCACCTCTTTAACTTTTCTTTGCAAACAACACAACCAGAGGGCTCTTTGTTTACAATTGATTGGCTAAGAAAACAGCCAGAGGGTCCTTTGTTTATATTTTGTTCATGAACAAACCAACTGGAGCACACTTTGTTGACAAATTTTAAGCTAACTGAGTGACTACAGGGCACTTTGTTGACATTTTTTAAGATAACAGAGTGATTAAAGGGCACACTGTGGATATTTTTTAGCTAACAGGGTGACTCAAGGGCACTTTGTTGATATTTTAAAGCGAACAGAGCAAATCAGGGGCACTTTGTTGACATTTTTAAGCTAACAGAGTGACTAGTCAGCACTTCATTTTTGTTTTATCCACCAAAGGAGCAACAAGAAGACCCTTTGTTTACATCCATTTCACCAAAATAGCAGCTAGGCTTAACTTTGTTGACATGTTTAAGCTAACAGAGCAACTAAAGGGCACTTTGTTGACATATTTGAAATAACAGCGATTAAAGGGCACCTTGTTGAGATTTTTAAGTGGATAGAGCAATTTGAGGGCACTTTGTTAACATTTTAAAGTTACTAGAACAACTGGAGGGCACTTTGTTGACATTTTTAAGCTAACAGAGTAACTAGTTGGCACTTTAAGTTTTATCCACTAAAGGAGCATCAAGAAGACCCTTTTTTTTCACCAAAATAGCAGTGAGGCTCCACTTGGTTTGCATTTTATTGACCAACAGCAGCAAGACAACTCTTTATTTACATTTTCTTAACAAGAGGTTCAACCAGACGGCACCTGTGTAAATTACCTTGACCAACTGTTCAATTACAGAGCTCTTGGTTTACATCTATTCTCTCCAAAAACAACCAGGATGCCTTCAGTTTGGATTTTATTTGCTAACAAAGCAACTATAGGACACTCTGTTTTTGTTAACCCCATAAAAATGTGTTTTTTAATGTAAATTTCACAGCAGGGACACTCCAGAGTCCTCTAATGATGCTTTATCGACTGTATAAGACAGCAGCACTTTCAGGTGCATTTTTCCACACATGGAAGTGATCCCCTCTCTTGTCTCTCTAAACTACTGAACTGAGTATTTACAACCTCTGTTTGTGTGTATAGGTAGCCCCTTTCAGTCTTCGCTGAGTGATTCAATCCTGTTCGATCGAGAGCTTTAGGTTCTCCTCCTGTGACTCCATCAGTTTGATGTAGAACTGCTGATAAAGTACAGGAAATCCAAGAGCACTCTCAAGTTAGCTGTGGGGGGAACCGACGGGTCAGAGAAACAGCCAGAAAACCCAAGGCCTGTACTAGAGATGATTGTTTATCTGGTTCCGCTAACCCCGACAAATGAGATCAAACCTGGCAGTGACACGAAGCTGGTTATCGATCTGATAAGTCCGCTGGAGTTCCTCTGAGCGTGTGCACACAAAGACGAAAAAAAGAGGAGGAGGAGGTCATAGCAGCAGAAAACCAAGCACAAACAAACCTGCTGTCATGTGATCATGTCGAATCGAGTCGAGAGTAAGTCATTAAGCTCATTCAGATCTGGAAACTGAACATGTAAGACAGAGATTCACCCAGTATTCATGAACCAATGTGGGTCTTTGTACTCATCCTATAAGCAGACAGGGTAAGAGAAATAGGAAGTGACAGATAGCGCACATGCTAATTGCTTTCAGGAGCAGCTTGCGACAGCATTCAGACCACCCACGCCTTTCTTTAGCGTACAAACCAAATTAAAACACTTCCCAGAGGCCGCTGCATTCTCATAAACCCAAACCACAAATTTCCCAACTGTCTGCGAGCTTTATCACCCACGGTAAGCGCAGACAGCCCCATCCTGTTGGTTTTCATTAACTCCATATCTCATTGACCTCCTGGGAAACCCCCCTGTAGCTCGGTATGATGTCAGACTCAGCAGGATGGAGATCACCTGTGGCACAGACTGTAATGTGATATCTGATGAAGGCTGAGGCTGAGATTTCATTTTGAAACCCAGAAATTTATCTGATTTTTATCTTGGAGTTATTTCTGTTGAACACTGCATTAATTTTGGGCTAATTTTCACTCTGTTGATAAGAAATAGAATTAAACCACTTGTTAGACATGCCTTGAGACTGTAAAGCATTTATCAGCATCCAGGAAGGAATCAAATCCTTTCTCTGTTTCCCATTTGGAGGAATTTGTCTTTAGACTTCCTCTCCCTCTGTGTTTGAGCAGTAATTATCCCCCACATGCAGGACTAATACCACGCTGTAAAACGTGTCATCTGAAGCAGCATTGTGATGAAGCTGCGCCATTAAATCCGCTGGCAGCAGTCGTGGCTGCGCAAAGTGAATCACAGGCAACAAACTTTTCAGACTGCATGAATCTCATTGTTTCAGAGCTGTAGACTAGTGTGGAGGTTAATTAATAGACCGGAGATGCTGCACAGGACAAATATACACACATTTAATTATCGGCTGATGTCGGGGGTAACGGATGAAGTCAGTGTTTAGAGGCTGTAACACAATTCACTGCAGTAAACACATGAAAATGAAAGTTAACATTGTTAAAGAGTTTAGTGACGACAATTTGAATAAATAGAGAAAATAAAGTGAAGCTCTTAGTTTAGTCTGTAATCCTGCAAATGTGTTTAATCCAGTGAATTTGGCTTCAAATCAGCTGAAGTTGGTGCAAAGAAAGCAGCCAGAGGGCCCTTTGTTTACAATTTGTTCACAAACAAACCAACTAGAGGGCGCTTTGTTGATGTTTTTTAGCTAACAGAGCAACTCAAGTGCACTTTGTTGATATTTTTAGGCAAACAGTGTGACCAGAGGGCACTTTGTTTACAAATTTCAAGCTAACAGAGTGACTACAGGGTACTTTGTTGACATTTTTAGGCCAAACGAAGTGACCGAGGGGCATTTTGTTGTTGTGTTTAAAGGTGACAGAGCAACTAGAGGCACTTTGTTGACATTTTTTAGCTAACAAAGCAACTAAAAGGCGCTTTGTTGACACTTTAAAGCTACCAGAGTGACTAAAGGGCATTTTGTTGATGTGTTTAAAAGCTAACCGAGTGACTAGATGGCACTTTGTTGACATTTTTCAGCTAACAGAGCAACTAGTTGGCACTTCATTTATGTTTTATCCACCAAAGGAGCAGAAAGAAGACCGTTTTGTTTACGTTTCATTGACTAACAGCACAAGGGCACTTTATTCACATTTTTCTAACAAGAGGCGAAACCAGACTGCACCTGTGTAAATGACCTTGACCAACGGTTCAATTTCAGGGCAATTGAACTCAATTATGAGTCATTTTTCCTTCCCTCATGTCCTAAAGGACACTCCAGTGCATCCTTTTTTTTAACATTTGGAGAATACAAACCTTCCTCACCTTGACCCGAGGAGACATAGACTCCACTAGACCTCTGATGGTGTGCTGTGGGATCTGATACCAAGACTTGAACAGCAGATCCTTTAAGTCCAGGAGGTTATGAAGTGTGCCCTCCAAGGATCGGACCTCTAGCAGATCCTGCCTGATTGGATTAAGATCTCTGGGATTTGAAGGGCAAGTCCAAACTGTTGTGGCTCTGCTTCTTCTTCCAGGTGACGCTCACATGTTTGTTGTGGGTAAACAGCATCGACTGTTTATCATGGCAGCAGCTTTACAAATATTTTACTTATTCAATCCACTCAGACCACAAACAATGACGAAACAGGAGTCAACTCATCGTAGTGATTTCATAATTCCTTCCTTCAGGGCGTTACGGCAGACAGGGAGAGAGGCTGTGCACACGGTTATTTTTAATTCTGCAGCTGTAGAAGAGATTTCATACTGTTGCATAAAAATACAGCAGAGCAGAGTAAAAAAAAAAAAAAGTGTTCAATTTCTCATGATTATTCTACTAAGTGCATAAGTTGTGACTGCATGTAAGTTAATTCAAAAGGAGGTAAATCAGCAGACTCAGTATTCAATCCACGCCTCTGTAATATTTCAGCTCATCTTTAAAACATCTGCATGTTTTTAAATCAACGCTTATCAACACTGAGCCTTAAAGGGATATTCCGGCGTAAAATTAATTTAGGGTCAAACACACTGTAACACTGAGTCAGACCCCTCGTCGAGAGATGAATGTTGCCGACCACTTGCTTCTTTAGTTATACCAACTTCAGTAACGACAGAGAGTCACGCGCTCAACCAAAACGCCACTCTATAACCACAAATAATGCTCAGAACAGCACCTAACTTCATCAACAGGACATATAGGGTCACAGACATAGTACTAGACACCAAACATCTTTTTAACTTTGACTCATTTCTTTAGCAAACAGACTAAACACAACTCACCCACTCTCTTCCAGCAGCTGCTTGTTTGTAGCGAGACCTCAGTACGGACTGCTGTGGGGTGACGCAGCTCAAGGAAAAACATTTATGATCATTACCTCATGGAAATACAATCAGACCGAGATGCTAAGGCAGAAGAACTACCGCGTCTGTAAAATGATCAATATGATGATTATTACTTCAAGGAAATGATAAAGAAATGATCATAAATGTTCTTCCTTGAGCTGCGGCACCCCGCTGTAGTCTGTAATGGACTGGCCTGAGGTCTCACTACACTATTGCTATTCTGGGGTCGTTACTTAAGTTGGTATAACTAGAGAAGGAAGCGGTCGACAACATTCATCTCCCGAGTGGGTGTCTGACTCTGTGTTACGGTGTGTTTGACCCTAAATTAATTTCACACTGGAATATCCCTTTAAATGAAGGTTTCATCTCTTTGAGTCCTCTGCCCCTCTTCACATGCGACCTCTGACCCCTCCACGGGCTCATCAGCTGACTGCCTCCTGCACATCTTGCTGGCTCTGATCCGTCTGAATGAGAGATCTCCTGGGCTCACCCTCAGTCATGCTATGTTTCCTGTGCAGATGTTTGTCATACATATTCATAAAGCCGCCTAATGGCGATCATTACTCCAGCTCCGTCTCTTTGCCTTGGCGGGCCCCCAGCGAAGCCGGCTGCCAAAACGCTTCTTGAACCCTGCGCTCCGGTGGCGGCTGTGATTGATCGGATCTGTCATCGCAGGAGTCCTCTGACGGCACGGACGAGCAGACAAACATATGACGAGCACAAACACAAAGGTATTACACCGTCGCACAGGGTCATGAATAGTCATTTAACTGGCTAATGTGATCAGCCATCAAGCTCAGTCCCTGCTCGCCATGTCTGTGTCTGTGTGGGTGTGTGGGTGTGATCCCACTTCCTCTGAGCCGCTCTGACATGTTTTCCCGCTTGTTTTAAAGGAGGAGAACAGGCATGTTTGCATCCTGTTGAAAGCTTCTCATTTATACTTGATTGACACCTCTTTTCTCGCCTTAATCCCACCGTAGGAGTTAAAACCAAACAGGACTTACCCGGGGTCAGGTAGGGAGGATGCAGGATGAGGAACTTGGGAAAACAAGGATTTTGGAGAGAGCAGGACATGGACTAGGGGCTTTGAGGTACTGTGTGAGTGGATAAGGTTGAGTGGACCTCCCTCGTACGCGGTCTAACTGTGTCTAAGTGCTTTAAGAGAAGCCAATAAAAGTGTTCGGGGTGACTGGCAGGGGGCCGGGAGCAGACCTACCTTCTCCACTTCTCTTTTCCACTCTCCCTCTCTCATGTTCTGTGGCCTGTGGCTGCCGCCTGCCTGCTCGCCTGCCCGCGCTCTCCTTCTGTGACAGCTGCCTCGACAGCGAGTGAGGCCGCCATAAATCTACAGGGATTAAAGAAACCCAGCCATGGTTCGTCTCCAAATTAAACCGGGGCAGAAACCACTCAATAATCCGCAGAAGAGAGAAGGGAGTAGGAGGGGAAACAGGAGCAGAGAGCACCAACTTTGGCAGGCACACGGAGAGAGTAATTATAAGTAAACGCAACTTCAGAAACATCCGAGTCTGTCTGATGAAAGTACGGCCTGACATTCACATAAAAAACTTTTATCTTAAAGGATGGGTCGCTATTTTAACCTGGAATCTGATCCTACACGTCTGGAGGTCTGAAAGACAATCTGGAGAGGCTTTCACTGGCACTGGTGGACTTTAATTCCTGCAGACGAATCAGCCTTTGGTTTTCAACTAACAGCTCTCTTCTCCTCCTGTTCCTGCTCCTCTCCCTGCTCTCCCCTCTCCTCATGCATTTACCTGACATCGCCATATTGTTCAGTTTCAATTATCGTACTATTATGATCGTAAAACTCAAATCGGATGAATCGCCCAGCTCTATCCTGAGATAATGTCACAACAAACAGGAATCTTCCTTTTCCAAAAATCGTCTATCTGCGTCATGATCTGACATTTAGCCTTGTCAGTGATGTAGATTACCATCTCACCTGTCTGTAAAAAATAGAAAAAAGAGACACCTGACATAGATGTTCTTTGATCAGACCCTTCGCCCAAAGGCCTGACCTGCAGCTGCTGACTGCTGGAATGTGTCAGAGCGATGAAAACCGTCTGAACCTCAAACTTCTGGAAGACTGATGGAAATTTGCATCCAAGCAAGAGTATAATTTTCTTACATTTTCATCTCAGAGGGTTTGTGTTTTATTTACGGAGGACTTTCTTTCCCCCTCATTGTTTTTCATGGAGCGTTTTCATGGTTTTCAGTTGCAGAGTTTCTCCCGGGACAGTCGGCACGCAGCCCCGTGTCGGTCGTCCGTCTTTTGATGCTGTGTTTCAAATCTACGTGAACACAGGTGCACGCTCCGAGCATGCCATTGTTTTCATTTTTGAGCATCTGCAAAAGTATAAATTACATCTTCTTACATCGATATACGACTGGAAAGGCTGCTGCTCCTTCCTGAACTCTCACTCCTACAGAAATTCCCTGCACTCCAGGCGGAGGGCAGTGGGAGGTAAAAGTGGAGGAGGAGGAGCAGCAGTAGTCCAGAATTTGGTATTCCTGCTCTTTTACTTCACCGCAGCTCCTCTGGGAACCTTTGTTGGCACACACACCAGTGTTTGTTTGAGCTGCTGCACAATACTCCCACTCAGAGGAGGAGAAGTCCTCAGGGGTGTTGGATTGCACCTTGTGGCTTTCCTTTCCTCTGCTCTCTCTGTAGCGCTGTGAGGTGAGCGGAGCGGGGCGGAGCGGGGCAGGACGGGGCAGCAGGCTGGGGATAGCGTTCAGATTAATCAGCTCCTGAGGGCTCAACTGGGTCCACTGTTGCACATGAAAGCTCTGGGAAAATGGACAATAGATCTCTGGTTCCCTGATAAGGTCTGATGACTTAATCTTTCTGTTTGGGGAGGGGGGAAACTGTGGCCATGGCTCAGTGACGGCCTCATAGACTGGAGCTCAGCTGCAGGATACCACAGTTCTGGTTCTGGTGTGGTCTCTATCAGACATAGTTCTTGTTTGGATGATTCAATATAGTTTGATGTATGCATTATGTCCTCAGGCATGTGCACGCTGATCTGTTTCCATATTTATTTTTCGAAACTTGATTTTTTTCCAAAGATCATAAAAAAACGGAAAACTCCCAACGCTCACTCACTAATAAAACTGACTGGAAACAACATCTGGTAGAAATATGGAGGTAATGAAACAAAAGGTAGCTGTCATATTTAAATGCACATGCGATGTCATATCAGGGTTCGAATCTCTGGAACTTTCTGGCATTTATTAAGTTGTCAAATCGTTCAAATCTTAAAGGAGGGAAAAACAAACACGGAGAATATCTGTGAGCAGTTTTTTGACCCTGAGCTGTCTACGAGCTGAGAGATTTCACACATAATTATTTCAGCGTGTTTAAGCTGCATCCGTTTATTGTGAATAACAATATTAAAGAAGGGGAAATATTCACTGTATCCACAACTCTAATAACTTTACATTATTCCATCTGCCCAGAGGGACCGCGGGACCTTTCTCACACATGTCTGCATTTCTTTGGAAGAAGCAGATTCATTATCAGCATGGTTTGGTACATCATAAATATGTGTAGGTTGAAAGAGTTGTTATTATTACAACTTTGAGAGTGTTATTTGTTGTAGAAATGTCTCATTAGACTCGATGTAAACCACATTCACCTTGTAAGTTTAGATAAAAATCTTATTAAAGTTATAAATCGCAAAAAATATGCAACAAGAAAGGACTGCAGATGAGGAAAGGCGAATTGACTTATTAAAGTCATGGTTGACGATCTGAGCCGTCCCACCCCCTCACACACAAACCTCTCCCCTCTGTACTCCACCATAACTCCCCCCTAAACCTGTATCACCCTCCCCACGACACACCCCCTCTGGCAGAGCAAGAAGCCGGAGCAGAAGATCCTACGCTAGCTTCAAATAGGATTCACCATGTCGGATTGCTAGCGACTCGCAGCAGTAAACGCCAGCTCTGCTAGCGAGCGCCGTCTGACATGTCAGAGACTAATCAGAGTTATTTATGTAACATGTGCCACGATAAAAGGAGATAAAAATGACCTGTGCCACAAAAACTCTGCTGTCTCAGCGTCTGTTTTCAGGACCAAATCCTGGCGGAGCTTTCTCCACCGCTCCAAGGATGACCCGATGTTTATTCGAGTTCGATTCCTCACTTGGTCACATTTCCTCTCCATCTTTCGTCTGTCGGTTTGCGTTTTCTTCCCACTTTTGGCGGTGTGGCGAGCAGAAGTGTTTTATTGCGTCCTTCTCCATCACAGCTCCTGTAGCTAAGCTGCCACGCTACTTACGCTACTACGCTGCTAAGAGGGGTGTGTCGAATACAGCGAAGTGATTGGATTGAGAGGCGGAGCAGGAGATTAACCAATAGGAGCTGTCTGGGATGGATGGCTCCAATTGGTCAATGTTTCTGCAGCTCTGCACCTGATAGGGTTAACTGATTTTTTCCGTTCTTTTTTCTCTTCACTTTGTGGAGATCGCACTATAGGACCATGATCGCCATAGAAACGAGGTTCATAATAATTACCAATCTCTCCAAACGTTAACCTTACCTTTAAGTTGTGATTTAAGAAACACGTCAAGTAAATTTTAAATAGAGACGAACAAAGATTTCTTTGGTCTGACTTCTGCAGCTCCAACCTGATGTCCAAATATGGTCCTAAAAACTGAGGTGACTGCGGCCAAAACACCAAATGTCAGGACTCCACCTCAGCGTTGGGTGACCTCATGGTGACTTTCATTACTTATGTTCTGCAGCGTTTGAGTTTTTGAGCTGAAATTGGACGATTGCAAATATTAATATAAGAGAAACTGGAAATTCTGACTTCTGGTCCTTTTCTGGGAAACCCCCCAAAGCTTCGTCCTTGTCCTCCGTGCAACACAACAGAATTAGAGCCAGAGTTTGGTAAGGGCTTTTGCCAGTCTCCATAATGAGGCCGTGGTTCCATGCTTTCTCTGGTAGATTCATTTCACAACTTAATATTGAAGTGGGCAGAGTTCGGCCCCTCAAAGGCAGCCTTCACACTTTGGAGCCATTAGCCTGGAGTGGTGGATCAGACTTCTCTTTACGGGCCGTTTGCATCTGTTTTCCCTTTAAACGTCATAAATGTGAGGTGTATATATGCCAAGGTCATGACAGACAGATGGTGCTGTAATGATTTTCAGAACTCGGGCCAGGCAGCGGTGCAGGAAGTGCATGGGCCTGCTTATGCTCTCCTCACAGTGGCCTTACTGTAGCTAACACAGACCTTTTCTTCCTGGAAGCCTGAAATGCTCATTTTAACCTTCAAAGGACAAATTGTTGGTTTTTCCTCTCCTCGGGTCGGGGAGGGCCGGGTTAAATTATGCCCAAATTGCGGCATATTCCTCCAATATTATTTACATGGCTGTCACTTTGACTTGCACTGGGCCCGCTCACAGCTCCCTTTTATTTCCATTTCTGCTGACGGCTCCGGGCTCATCCCTGAACTGTCATAATTTGCTGTTCTGCTTCTCTGTGCTCCGTCTCTGGAGCTGAGGCATGCTCCTGCATGCTCACATAGACACTTAATTTCCCCCAACCGCTATTTTTCTATCACTTTTTCACAGCGCCTCCCTCCGCCGCTCTTTTATTCCCACTCTCCGTCCTCATCTCTCTTTGTCCTCTCTGGATGTCTGTGTGGGAGTTGACCTGAAGTGAAGGCAGCGGGCTGAAAGTCGCCAAGTTCAAACACATAAAAAAAAAGACAGACAACACCCACTCCACCATCGAGGCTTTGAACTGAAGATACAAAAAAATGTGAGATGATCAAAGATCACAAAGTGACCTCACTCTCAACATCCCATTTGTGTAAATCTTTAAAGTGCGGACGCTCACTTTCCTTCTCCAGCTCAGGGAGGAGCCGCGAAGATCACAAACTGCCCGAAAACTTTCTCTCCTCAAAGAGTCCTGACTCACTTATCGGACTCGTAAAAATGATAACTTTTTATGTGCAATTTATCGGTGCGTCCTTGAACCCACAACTCAGACGATTTTACTTTGAGGGACGTTTTTGTATTTTTAAGCTGTATTTCTCTGGGTCGAAATAAACAACCAAAAAGTTGTAGATTTGCTTTCATTGAATTCACAGCAGCTGTGAAAGCGCTAAACTGACATCAATGCATACCCATAAGTGAAAAAAAAAAGCGTGTTTTTCCCCCATATAGGTTTTCAAGCATTGAGGGATTCCTGCAGAGAAACTCCTCTCTAATTGATGAAACATCTGTTGACGTTAAAGCATCGATGTGATCAAATTAGGCGACAAACTTGAGACATTTGCACGCTTCTTCTCTGGACACATCTGAGTTCTCATCTGAGCTACAACATGCAAACTAAGCGTACGAGTGCATCTGATCAGACTGAAGTCAACCTGCAGAATCAAAGTTTTAAAGGCAACTGACTGCAGGCAAGTTAACCCTTTAATGCCTTATATACTTTATATACTTCTCTCAAATCAATACGACCAACAAATGACTAAAATAACACCTGGATACAGTCTGATAAATTATAGAAATTGTAGTTTTTTAGTTTCCAAAAACATCTAATGTATCAAACGAGATAAATAAATATATTTGTTAAATTTTAAGGACATTTTGCTTTTTTTGGTTTTCAGTAGTAGGTGAAATAAACATTTCAGCTCCAAAAAAAACTTGAATTTTCTGGCCATAATTTGTGGTGTCAGGCATTGATTCCCTTTGAGGATAAATTAAGTTCTTCTTATTCTTATTAAAGGGCTACCATTGTGGAGGAAGCGAATTGAGATGTTTAGACCCATCATATGTCTCAATAAAGACCTGTACGAAGCAGAGGGAGCCACGAAACTGGAACTTTATAGCATGATGAGCCGACTGGACGCACCATCTGATGTCTTACCTCTCAGTCGTAGTTAATCTAAATAAGTTAAGATCATATAGAAAATTTCATTGCATTAATTTGATTTCTAAATCACGCCTCCTGCAAGAAATGCTTTACCCTCTAAAGCTGGAGGTTTTTTTCTGGGACGTATCCGCCTGTGTCGTGTCTCGCCTTCTGTGTAAATGTCACAGAAACCCGATGGTGGGATCAAGTTGTCTCTCTGCTAAGCTAGAATCAGAGCGGTGCAGCTGAGGTGAGACGGGATCACTGTGAAACTTTGATGTATGTGAAGTTCTGCTTGTTTAAATGGCGTGCTCTTTGGAGCTCGAACACAGCTCTGCAGACTCACTTTTCTCAGACAAAAACCTTTTGAAGAGGACACGCTGTGATTCGAGGTTCCAGGTTTTCATCCTCCTCTGCCCGAACCGTTCACCGAGAGGCAATCATGTGAAAAGTGGTCAGCTCTCAAAGTGGTGATAAAAGGCCCTAAATGAGAAAGCAGATGGATGGAGACAGGCAGAAGGAGCGCTGCGGTCTGATTCACACGCAGCATCTTCTCTATAATTGCCTATGGAAATCAAAACATTCCTCATGTTCCTGCAGATGAAGCAAAACCCCAAGGGTGAAACCTGCTGTGCTCGACTCCTGCTCGCTCTACCCCTCCAGGCAGCTGATGAGCTACAAAGTCTCTCACCTCTCTGTGTCGTCATTGTCCCAGGAGCCGGCTGACAGTGACTGACAGCTCCTGCACTTTTGCTTCTTGTGTGCCACGTCTTCTCCTGGATGAGTGTGTGGGTTTAATATCTTTTTCAGTGATGCCTCCTGTTCAAACATCCAGGTATGTGCTTGTAGCTGCAGGCGTACCCAGAAAAGTAGGTATAGGAGGAACATGTATTATTATTTTTGATTTAATCACAAAAACAAAAGACCAAAAATGAAAACCAGACGTGTTATTCTGCTGGATTTAAAGACCTAAAATCAACATCTTCAGGACCACATATTTTAACATTTTTGAGCATCTTCCAGAACTCGTATCTTATCAATCAATCAATCAATCAATCAATCAATCAATCAATCAATCAATCAATCAGACTTTATCTGTATTGTACTTTTCATACATTGAGATGAAGCACAAACTACTTTAATTTAATTGTTAATAAAAATGAATGAATGAATGAATGAATTAATAATAATAATAATAATAATAATTATAATAATAAATTAGCAATAATAATAATAATAATAATAATAATAATAATAATAATAATAAAATAAATAGAAATTAAGAAATTAAAAAAGGAATAAAATTAATAAATATAATAATAATAATAATAATAATAATAATAATAATTAAAAAATTGAGCTATAAAATAAATAATAATACTGATAATAATATTATATAATAGTATTATAATATTAATAATATATATAATGTAATATTAATAAATAATAAAGTTAAACAAATGAAATAATAATTATATATAAAAATATTAATAAAAAATAAAAATAAATGAATTAATCAATAAATCAAACAAAATATGATTCACATAATAATAATTTAGAAAACTTAGAATAAAAAAATATGAAAAATTTACACATATATTACAAAAAATAAAAATAAAAAATATGTCACTCAGAACCTTATCTAATTCTGGACCACATATGAATGTGCCCTAAATCAGACTTAATGGGCAGAAAAAATCTCATATTTGGCCACACTTGCCTTCAACCCGAAGATAATTAACCCCAAGAATCCACCTCCATCTCTATCTCTTCCTCTCCCATGATGCACCTCTGCTCTGGCGTAGGGGGACACCCTCAGCAGAGCCTGGGCTCCATCACATACCTGAAGGATAAAAGTTAATGACCTTAGCATCTCATTTTCTGGGGGGGCCCCGTCTTTGGCTTGTCTCCTCTCAAAAGCACCTTGCAGCTCAATGGGACAGAACAGACGAGAGGAGTCACTCTGCCGTGGAACGTATAATGACATCTTCCCTTATAACCCAGAATGGTTATTGGCTATAAAACTGCAAGAGCTCATCTCAGAGATCCATGGTCAAAAAGGAGATGATGTGTGTGGTCAGGAGTGAGACAGCTGTCTCCGTCCTTTAGTCTGTCTCTCTCCATCCTTGTCTTAAAGGCGTTCGAGGATGAGCCGAGCGCTCCACTCCAACTGCTGCGACTACATTTGAAACCTTTCACATCTGCCCCCGCTCTGTTTATGACTCACTTGTACTCACACCACAGTATGAATGCTAATGTTAACAGCTAGCGTGATCCTGCCACAGAGCATTATGGCGAAGTATCGAGGGGTTGTAAATCAGAGCCGCAGAGGCACTCGAAGGAGGCTGAAATTAAAAAAGCGTTTCCTCCCATCAGCATGAGAAGTGAAAGTGTACACCAGGAAACAGAGAAACAGGCGTTCACCGTGTCAGCTCTAAGCTCACACATCCAGAGCTGTTAGCTGCAGCTACTTTAACCCTGACTGTTCGGTTGGGTGCGGGCCAACGCTTTTAGTCATCGGCCCGAATTTTCACCTCACTCCCTCTCTTTCTGTTGTGAGATATAGCCTTGGCGGAGCTCCCGAGCTTAAATGGCTGATTTGCAGTGGGTTAACTGGAGAATGGGAGGGTGAAGTCATATATATTGTGTGTGGGGAGGCTTAGCTGAGTGGTAGATCAATTTGGGAGAATAAAGAAGGAGCCAGATGGGCCGCTGGAACCCGGTCCAAAGGAGATGAGGTAAAAAAGCAGTAGATGAAGAGCCCAGGTATTTATCACCCCTGAAGCCTGAATATAAAATGTGTTTGAATGTATATTGGCTGATTTTATGAAAATACCACGACGGAGAAAAACCCCACAGGCTGATGAAAATGTTGGACTGTCACCTCCGAGTACAGTCGATCAATCACTCGGGTTTTATTTGCGTAACACTGTTCCTACCAATTAACGTAACACAAAGTGCTCTCACTGAATAACCCCGCTGTGTGGACGGATAATGAAATGAAGTGATATATGTGACACTGATGAATAATGGCAGCATTAAACAAAACAGGAACAGCACAAACTCTGCTGTAAATGCACCTGCATCAAACTACACCGAGTCGAGCTGACTAAGGACATAATTAAGTGACGCTAAATCAAGAATCTGACGCCAACACAAATTAACAGGAGGGCGGAGAAACCTTATCGGACTTTGAGCCGGACCAAGAACAAATTTAGCTTTTAATATCAACCACAAAAACACAAAGTATTTCAATGGGAGTTTACTCAGTGTAGCACGTGAAAACTGCAGTACCTCAAACGTCCACTTGGGGCTTTCTGCAGAAGATGTTAAATCCTCATTAAGGCCCATATTAAAATGCTTCTTTATTCAGCAGAATGAAGCGTGTTTGCAGCTTGGATCAAGATAATTTTTTCTCTCTATATCACAAAATAGTATGCCACGTTTTTTTTGAAATGCAGGATTTTAACTATACGAAGGTAGGATGACCATACATCCTCTTTTAACCGGACATGTCCTCTTTTTTTGAGGGCTGTCTGGCCTTGTCTGGCTTTGTTTGGGGCAGTTTATAAAATCCTTTAAATGTCCAGGGTTTTGTATGGAAGTTTTGAGTTTGTGCACGTGGACTTACTGTGTTAGAAGCATGTAAAAGAAACCTTGATCTGACCCGAAAAAATCTCAAAATTAACAACTCATCTGCAGTTCCTTAAGTGTCCACTAGAGGCTGGCTGACTAAAACTAGTTTAGGTCCAATCAGTTCATTACTAGTTCATCATTCTCTGTTTTGGGGTGAATTTTACCAATTAAGGGGATATTATGGCGTAAGACGCAGTTAAAGGAAATACAATTCTTCATGGAAATACAATCAGACCGAGACGCTAAGGCAGAAGAACTACCGCGTCTGCAGAGAAAAATGATTAATATGAAATGATAAAGAAATAATCATAAATGTTCTTCCTTGAGCTGCGGCACCCCGCTGTAGTTTGTAATGGACTGGCCTGAAGTCTCACTACAAACAAGCGGCTGCTGGAAGAGAGTAGGTGAGTTGTGTTTAGTCTCTTTGCTAAAGGAATGAGTCAAAGTTAAAAAGATGTTTGGTGTCTAGTACTATGTCTGTGACCCTATATGTCCTGTTGATGAAGTTAGGTGCTGTTCTGAGCATTATTTGTGGCTATAGAGTGGCGTTTTGGTTGAGGGCGTGGCTCTCTGTATTGCTATCCTGCGGTCGTTACAAAAGTTGGTATAACTTTACGCTGGAATATCCCTTTAATAAGTTTTGAAGATTTTTAAGCTTTGCATAATTTCACCATTTTGCTAGCATGACTAAAATTTAGGTTGAGTCAGTGTTTCTAGTTTGGCGACCAACATTGATGCTACTGTGAAGACCAATGGGTGACATTACTGAGGCTTCATCCATGTTTAATACTGTCTGCAATAAATGAAGCTTTAAAATAGTTTTGGTAGGTAACATCATCATTTCTGGAAATCCTTTCTCCTTATTTTCTAGTCTTTTCATCCCCGACTGAGCTGAAATCTCAAATTAACCAACACAAGACTGTTTCTAAAAAACATCTGAAGGTTCGACACTCGTGTTTCTCCATCTCTAACAAAGTGCTTGAGTATCTTTCTTGTCGTAGAGCAGGACTTCACTGGAGTGTTGGGATTTCCTTATTACTTCCCTTTCAAATTAATTTCGTCTCGCACAGATACGCACAACAGCGAGACAATAAAAGGGACTAAAAGCCGTTCATAAGCTGTACAAATCACAAATATTACACCGCACTCAGACGCATAAAAAAGCCACTAAACACAAATACAATTACCGCAAAGTACATTTTACAAACGCGGCTGAAGGTGAGAGTTAAAATCCTGGAAATGTAGTTTAGAATGATCCTCAGCGGGGAATTACAGTAGTCTAATGGTCTGGTTAGGAAGGTAAGGATAACAGTTTCCAGATGTTTGGAGGGAGGAATGATCTCATGCCTTAAATGTTTCTAAGATGATAATAGCAGGATGGAAGCGCTGAGTTATCATGTCTGTCTAAACCCAGGTTTCGCACGAATCACTCCAAGATTTCTGCAGAAAGAAAGACTCATGCTTTAAATTTCTAAAATCCTTTTGCATGAAATAAAGGGAAAAAAAAGATTATTTTTATAGGCCAAGCAAAGTAATCCTCTGTCTCAGAGCTGCAGCAGCAATATGTCCTCTTGTTCCAGAGCTAAAAATCGATGCACGTCTCTTAACATGCCTCAAATCTCCACTTGTTGTGGTAGTAAATAAGCAACGCACGCAGACGTCTTATCTGTTTGATACAAACTCGATGTAAGATGTAAGATGTAGGGGAAACTGCCCAGACCCATTACACTAATCACACATCAGCTTCGGCTGAGAAGGTGAAATCTCAGGACCTTTAGTTCTGTTCAATTAAACCGCAGCGGCTCGTAAAACGAAGCAATCAAACCGAGGATCGATGGCGGCTCAGACCTCGTCTCGCCACGCCCAGGCTCACCGCAATCTGGCCTGTAAATCAGAGTGTGCGTGTGTGTGTGTGTGTGTGTGTGTGTGTGTGTGTGTGTGTGTGTGTGTGTGTGTGTGTGTGTGTGTGTGTGTTTGGGAGAGGGCGAGGGAATGAAGCACAGGCCAGAGGCACGAGCCCAGAGTGTCGTCTCTTTCATTTTCAGACAGGGAGGGAGAGTCAGGCTGATGGAGAGCTGCAGCTCCAGGGATGAAGGACAGGCCGACCCTCAGCTTCACGCACACACACACACTCACACACACACACACTCATTTCCACATTAACATTAACCCCGGCACCATTACCACTGTGAAGTGCTATTAAGAGGCAGACGCGAGGCCGAGGGGAGCAGATATTACCAAACTGTCTCCTCCTCTCAGTCTGCAGCTCATCTCGCGACTCTCTGACAGACGGGAAGGGAAACCCGCCATGATGGACTGAGCGGGGTCGACTTAACGGGCCTGATTTTATAGTTTGATTATTTAAAGGCATTTATATCACCTTATTATACACAGTTTAATTTAGATTTGCTTCAGGGAAACATTTCCACTGATCCCAAAGGTGTGACAGGATAAAACACGAAGCAGAAGAAGAAATAAACGAGGAGAGAAATGTTCACTTTAAATATTATGTTTGATGTTTTTTGCATTTTGTGGAAAAAGTAAAATGTCAAGAATAAAAAAACAAAGTTTTGAAGACAAATCAGAAAAGGAGGTATTTGACATTTTCACTTTCTTTTTAACATTTAATTCATTTTTCTTAAACTCAAAGAAAACTCAGGATGAATTAAACTTTGCCTGAGAATAAACTTTTAGATTTTTATTTTGACAAAACCCTTACACTGGATTTCCACTTATGTATGACATCTGTAGATCCATATAAATATGTGATACCTCTAGTGTCCAACGCAAGGAACTGCATCTCTTTACAGATGGATAGAAACTGTGAATCGACCTGAGAGTATAATCTTAAATCTGGATTATTTCACATCAAATTGACGAAGATAATTTGTGTGTTTAAAACAAATAATCATATTCTAGCAGAATATTGTTACTCTGATTCACACGCTCTTTTTTTAATCTTATGATCTCACAAAAAAAGCAGCTGCAGGTTTAACGGAGAGTTTTCTTTGCCTTCACTGGGAGATTATATTTGTACCATTGTTATTCACCAGGATTTACACAAATCCTTCATTGTTTTGATTACGCCGGCCCACTCGAAGGTCTAATAATACCAATCTGAAAATAAGAGCCCATGAAACATCCAACATGTGTAAATGTTTAGCAGAATGTAAATAACCGCTCTAAAATAAAGGATATGACCCGAGCGACTGAGGAGATTTAGGAAACATGTTCGGGGAGAGGTTTAGGGGGAGGAAATGACGAGGACAGGGTCTGTCTGAAGGACGGAGGACTTAGACATAATACAGCAAACACCTGAAACCACCTCAGATTGAAACGCAGATTTATGGCGGTGCAGTTTTTGGACTGATGTCGAAGTTTGACTCTTAAAAACCTGATATAATTACAGTGTTTGGGCTGAGTCAAATATTTCGACGTATATTTGGAGCAGGTCTGATCGATTTTAGCTGCTGTGAGTTAACAAGTTTGTGGCGTTAAAGGGCTCTTAAAAACAGGCGCAGGAGTAATGACTTTCCCATCCCCTGGTGTCCGTTACCTGTCACATTCGGTGTTTTTATTGTCCAGACGCGTGTCTCATTTCTTGTTATTTCTAGGGTTAAAAAAGCAGGAGAGGGAAGATTCTCAGGAAGAGGAGACGTCAAAAACACTTACCTTCACTGGAGTTAATATTTGTGTCTCGCTTTTAGGCGTCGCCGCCCAGCGGGATGGCGGGGGGGCCCTGCCTGAACTACTTTTTTATTTAGTTTGAAAACACGTTCATCAATCAACCAAGTCTGAACGCGGGGACGAGCCATTCAGAGACAGCAGGCCTGAGAGTAACCAACACAAACAAACAGAGGCGTACAGAGACGAGTGTGTTTCTCCTGATCGCACATATGAAGGCGGCGGGAATTCAACATCACATTCCCTCGTGTTTTCCTCTTTCATTAAATAAATGAAGCGCACATGAGCGTCTGAGTCACTTTCCCCGCTCTGTATACTTTCCCATCAATAAACGGGCGTTGTAATTCACCTGTTTGTTTTTACGTGTTGTAGCTGCTCCAGTCTCGGTGACGGCACACACGGCTGTTTGCTCTGCTTTAATTCTGAGCTGCTGTCAACATCAAAGCTGTAATTATGCAATAAACTCTGAGAGTCTCTGCGTCTTCAGCCCGCCGCCGCCGCTGCTGTCAGGTGTGGGACGGTTTGCCTAAAGGTTTGTTGTGTTTGCCGTCTTTGATTTGGCTGCCGCTGTCCTCCATGATCCAGTCAGAAATGAAGGCGGATACGCTGACTGTGTGGTATTTAAGAGGGATTGCTGGGAGTTGTCGGAGAGCCCGCTCTGGCAGGTTGCTGTTGTAATTGTCATGTAAACATATTTGCTTTGGTGTTGTAGTCTGTGACGATAAACAGAGGAGCATGCACAGAGAGTCTAATGAAGTTGGTCTGTGTTTGGGGAGTGAAGCACGCTTTTGTTTGGTGAAACTCGGAAACTCCAGGATCTAAAATAAAGCAGACGATGACGTGATGGATCTCAACTTAGACTGTGTTTGTTCTACAGAGGCCCTGAGAGGACAAAAAAGTGGCCTCAAATTGTCTGCATTTAGGACTTAAGAACAGGCGTTTATTATCTTTTCTGGTGTAATCTTCGTCTCTGAACTTGTTTGTTATTTTGAGAAAGGTTTTCTCTTCGTGATAATCGTGGCCAAAATATATCACAGTAGCAGTATAATTTGAGTATTTCTGGAAATGTTTTAAATAAGAGAAAACTGTCAAATTCTAATCTGAACTAATGAACAAAATTCATTTAATTGTTATCATGCATTTCTTAAAATATTCAAATTTGTGTTTTAGCATCAACCCTGTGACTAACTTTGGAGAAGATATTAGCTGTGTCCGAAATGAATCACTCAGTCCCTAACCCTCATATGGGGTTTCACTATATAGCTGACTATGTATTGAGCTCAATCACTGGAGGTTTCGGACACTACATGCCGCACCGTTGTGACGTCACTGCTCAGACTGAAGTTTTGGCCGTTGTTTTTTTGCATTTTGCAACGCTCTATGAGAAATTTTGAGTCGCCTATATGGGGCATTGGAATTGATCACTCAGGTTTCAGACACCCCTCAAAATGGCACTAACCCCTATATAGTCGCCTATATAGGGTATAGGGATCCATTTTGGACACAAAATTGAAAATTTACCTTACTTTAATGTAGCCATCATTGTCAAACTATGCTTTTATTTTGAAGTACTGACTTCAAAATAAAGTATACAGCTTCTTAAACATTAGTTTTGAAAGCCTCTAGCTCACTCGCAGTCTGCTACTTCTTCTTCGTCTATCCTCCATTTCTATAGCACTCATTCAGTTTTGTACTTTTATTCCATGAAGTTTATTGTCTATTACAAAAAGTTTTTTAAACCTTGATTGAAGCCAAAATGAAGCTGAAACCTCCAAATGTGGAAATTAGGAAACTTGCAGTTCTTTGAGGAGCCTCTAGGGGGTCACTCCAAAAGTGAGTCGATCCCCAAAATGTTGCAAATTGAAATTCCCACCTTTACAGCTGGCGTTAACTGGCTGTTGGCCAGTGTTAGGGTTACCCAGCATGTTTGTTTGGACGTTGGTTTCACATAGATTAACTGTTCATGTTGATGAAAGTCAAGGTTGTTGTCGGACTTTCTTCACCTGATGATTGGTTGATGAAGGCCTTGGTGTGTCATTTACAGCCTCTATCTGTTTCTGTAGCTTTAATTCATTTATAACTTTATCTCATTTACCGTTTTAATCGTCATATCTCAGCCTTAAACTTCTATCTCCTTCTTTTTACGCTCTTTTACGTCTTTGGTCTTTTTGAGTCTGAGCTCATGTTGCTCTGTTTTCATGTTGCTCCGGTTCTTCATGACGTTGTCACGTTGATATGTTGCTGAGGTTTTCACTCCTGTTTTGGTTTCTTCAGCCGTGGGGTTCTTGTGGTGTTTTCTGGTCGGGGTTTCAGCGTTGGTTTCTTATGTCATTCTGCCCTCACAGCTCCACTTAAGTCTGCTACTGTCTTCAAACTTGGCAGGAAACCTACGAGCCCCTCTTTCACTTCCATACATGAGAGTTTTTCCCCTCTTTTTCCATCTGAAATGCACTTTTTCACTTCCAACGTTCCACAGCTTTTACGACACTCTTCCTGCTATTTTGATGTGGACTGTGAGACCGTGTTTACTCAGGGCGGCGGCGGGGGAGAAAGGAGCGGATGTGTGCGACAGCGAGGTGGAGGGAGGAACTTGTGACCTGTCAATCACGAGAAAAGCGCCTCAGATAATCTTGTGACTCAGCTGTGGATGCATTTGCAGCAGGAAGTGTGAGTGAGTGTCTGGGGACGGAGACCCCATTAGGCTGAGCGGCTGCTACTTTGCAGAGGCTAATGGTGAAACTAATACAATTAAGCGTAAAGTGTGTGTGTGTGGGAGAGGACGGGTGTTATTACAGAGAGGGCGACACGGGAAACAAGAGGAAGGTTGGCACAATGGAGCAGGGTCGCGGTGGTGATTGTCATTTCTGGCCACCACATCACGCCTTCGTATTCACAATAGACTGCATCCGCTCCGCTGGCAGCTGCTCCGCATAAACCAGGAAACTAACAAGAATGTCTCCAAACGCAGGCCAGACAAAAAAAAGCCGACCGAAATACTCCGAATGAAAATCTAACTCTACAAGTACCTCACAGGAGCAGTAGTAGAAGTGGCAACTGCGGCTGCACCGTCCAAATTTTCCATTTATATTCAGCAGCAGACAGACGGCTGTGAGAAAATGTGTGAGTGGAGGAGCAGAAGTAATGTAGCGCTACCAGTGGAGCTTAAGTCTGCTGGAAGACTCGGCCCATATGAGCACATTTCATTTTCCATGCATAAGATATTGCAGAGCTGTGTTTGTATAGTGCGGGCCGTAGCACTTCCCTTCCTCACTCCATTACTCGTGGTCGTCCTCAGAATCAGAAATGATCACTGGACTGCAGGTTTAGTCCCCAGATCCAGGGTTTATGCATGTATAGACTCACAGCTGCAGGAACATCTGAGCGAGTGAAACTGGGTTACATGTCGGGGAAGGATTTCAAGAACTTTCTCCAACTACTTTTCCATGTATTATCTCTAATTTTTAATGAATCTCACCAGAATATTTAAGACTAGTTCCTGTAACAGCAGATTTTCTCCTCTGATGCTCGGAAATTCTAGATACAAGAGATCAGAGCAACCTGAGGCGCCCCAAACAACATAAGACCACCACCCGGACGGTGCTCGTCCCTTTGATGGAGACATGAATACATGCAACATTGTGGTGAATTCATGTCTCCATCGCTCAGGAGTTAGTGGATGAACCTGAAGAAAGAAACTGAGGCTGGGGTCATAAAAAAGTGTGAAGTAGAAAGAAAACTTGGTGAAAAAGTTGTAAATTTGAAATGAGATCTTTGCAGGAGAAGCTGAGAGTCAAAGAGCTTGGATGGATTATGCTTATTTTGGATCTTGTCAAGATCTAGCTGTGGAAAATTGCATCACAAAAGAGTACCGAATGCTGTTTACGACGGTGCGAATTATCACAAACCAAGGTTGGCATGTTGTGACCAATCGTAGCTCACTCACAGCTAGGGTTGGGTATCGTTTGATTTTGAACGATTCCGATTCCGATTTCGATTCCTCATTTCGATTTCGATTCCTATCAATTCTTTATTTCGATTCTTTTAAAAGGCAGGATATCATAAAAAAAAAAAGCATGGTTTGAATGAGGGCGCTAACCGGAGCTCTTCTTTTTGGATGTAATTTCTGAACTTCTCCATGAATTTTTAAATCATATTAACTTTTTAGGAACTTTACTATGAATTTCTCACATTTTCAACCGGTATATAAATATCATTTTTTGTTGTCAGGTCGTTTGTCTATGAAAAAGCACAAGGGCTAACGTTAGTTGGATATTTAAGTTTACTCACCGTACTCAGTGCAATTTGTTTACCGTTTCAAAGTTAGCAGAGGATAGAAGTAATTTATTGTTTCACTTATCTGATCCTGACTGGTTAGCGGAAGACAGGCGTTGTGCTGTAGAATGCATCCCTGCCGTAGAATGCCTCCCCTCCACTGATTAGCTTCTTAGTGGAAGAAATATGATCTCATATTTAAAAAAACACGAGTATTAGATCATGACAACATGTCAAATGGAGCAGTAAACTTTCGTTTCGTTTTTCTGTGTCTCAGAAACGCACACATAGAGGTGTACTTGGGTATATAAACTGTAGAGTAAGCAGTTAATGTAGAGAACATTATATTTTCCGGACAGTAAATATTCAGAATCAGAGGGCTGTTGTTTTCGGCATATCTGAATAGCCTGAATGAAATCATTAAAGGCACACGCTTTAGATTCCGTTCAACGGTAAGGAAAACTTGTTTCGCCTTGTTGTGTACTTTTCAACCGCGCTCCCGTCAGGGGTGCATTCAACAGCAGGGGTGCATTCTATGGCATAACACCGGCGAAGCGCGTCAAAGACGAGCACTCGGGTATTTCTCCTCCATGAATCCTGAGGTGTTTAATCATGTTTGTCGTTTACCCTCCTTTGCATGATATAACTGTATTGCTAATGTTGCATTGAGATAAGAGTTCATTCTTCCTGCTAAAGTTAGCCAAACTTTTGACCAACGAAGAAGAAGCTGCCGAACACCAACGAGGACGGAGCGTATGAGACGAAGTCACACAGAGAGAGGAGAGAGACAGAGAGAGATTACATTGTAACCCACAGCGGCTGCATTGCTGTGGGTTGCAATATACTTTCTCTCTCTGTCTCTCTTCACTTTCTGTGTGGCTTCGTCTCATACGCTCCGTCCTCGTTGGTGTTAAGCGGCTTCTTCTTCGTTGATTTTCGGCGGCTATTTCTTCTGGTCGGCGGACTCCGGCATCGAAACTTGGAATCGAAATTTTTATATTTGAACGATACCAGAAGAATCGAAGTTTTAGTCTCGATTCCCATCGATTCTCGATTCTCGATACCCAACCCTCACTCACAACGAACAACGTGTACGAAACAGAGAAGACGACCAAGCTCAGAAACCATTTGGAGGTAAAAACTTAAAGAATCTTAAATATGTTATAGTTTGATATCTTTTTGTTAAATAAAAATATGAACATTAAAGATAGAGACCCTAAATAAATTTCTTCACTGAACCAGAACAGCTCCGAGATGATAAAGAAAACATTCATTATTAGACGTGTTTTTGTTTTTTAACATCCTGTATCAGTTCACATGATTCCTGTTTGTTTCCGATGACTGTGATCACATGACGTCAGTGAAAAACATCACAAGGTTGTCCTTTCCCAGACTTCACCATCATATGTCATAATGTGTGTGTGTGTGTGTGTGTGTGTGTGTGTGTGTGCGTGCGTGCGTGTGTGTGTGTCAGCAGGTCAGATCTGTGGGAACGATGTGTTTTAACAGGAACTACGTTGGTTCAATTCCACTTTCGTTTTGACCGTGGTTCGGCATCCGTCTGGAGTTCCGTTGAATTTATTGAACTATGATGTGGATTTGTGGTTAAAAAATCACCCTGACACACAGAAATGAGGAAGTGTGGCGTAACCATGTGATAAACCGTTAAACCCCGATGAATTGTGGTTATTCCTGACAGTCACAGCTTTTCTTAATTATCACATGATGAACCTGAAATCCTTTATTTCTCAGCTTTGTGTCCGTGTTGAACAGAAACTACTGAAGGATATTTTATCCCCAAATCTGCTTCTTCTTCTCTTTTTTCCCTGTTATCTCCGGCTGAAACAAACATGGAGGAGCGGTGCTATTTTTAAAGACCGCCTCCACCCTGAGCGTCTAACTCTCTAATTAAAAGAGACAGCATAAGTTCCTGGCTGTTGGCACATTGATGTTAAAATCTTGTGCTTTTCACACTCCAAGAATCATTGCCAGAAATCTTTTCTTTCAACGGGACGAGGAGAGCTTTCACATACATGCACAGCCAGGTGATAATGAAACACCTTTACATGACTGATGAGGAGTTTATTTATAGGTGAGTTTACCTGATCCAGACTGCAGGTACTGAGAAGACTCCGTTTTTTTCTGTGTGAACGGTGTCTGCTTAGTACCTTCTGGTTTAATCACGTCTTAATAAAACTGCATCATCAGGTATGTGATTCACTTTGGCAGCTATGACTCTATGTGTATTATATCTTTAAGACATACTGAGGTCTGATTTTTGAAGACATGATCATTATATCTCCTGATAATGTTGATTATTGTCAGAAAATAGATCTACTATTATTGAAGTATGTCCTTGAGCTCTCCTGGTCGAGTATGTTGGGTTTTGTTTTTCTTTTTGAGATTATATCTTACATCAAATAGTCCAGAGTGGAAGGCACAGTCTGCAAAACACCAGAGATATTAGAGCCATAAAAAAAGCTAATCCTCACTGAGTGATGACCGCAAAGTGATTGGTCAAGGCCTTCATCATGTGATGTCTCTAAGTCTGGTTGAGCAAGAACAAACCAGGTGACACATTGCTCTTGCAGGACCATGTTTGACTCATACTAACCAAAAACAGGAGGTTGGAAGCGGGAAACAACCAACTTCTGCGTCCATCAAAGAAGAGTTTCTGTTTCTTTGTTCATGGAGCAGCTTTGACTAAAGGAGCCAAAGTCGGGGATTTACAGCCTCTGTTTAAAGATGGCGTCTCCAGAGGCTCTTTGTCAAACTGGATATACCACCTTTTTTGCAGTGTGAGAACCTTCATAGACTAAAGTTATTGTGTTTATTTTCATAAGAAGTCTATCAATAAAAAAAGTCTGTTACTGCCAAAAACATAACTTTTAGAGGAAGTTTGGTTTGAGAAAACTCTGCAGCAGAATCCAAAGTTTTAAAGTTACCATCAAACACAGAGAGAGTGAAGCTAATTCTTAAAGAGTGAATATTTATTCATTTTTTTACATAATTTATCCACAGAGTTATTGGTAGAAATAAATCAAAGCGGTTTTAGATGAATAAAATAAGGTTAAAAAAATAATAATAATAATTAAAAAAATACAGTAGTTAAAAAAAGGAACTCAAACCAGTAAAATGTGAAATAATAATAACCAGTTAATTTATATATGTTTTTTTTCTTTCTTTCTTTTAACAACATATTTGCTTTATTTTAGAGCTGAAGGTCGAGGTACTACCTGGACAAGTTTTTCCTGTTAATACACGTTTATTGATACACATAGATAACAAATGATAATAATAAATAATAATCCCATTATTCAAATACATTTATTTTTTCAAATTTAATGGAAGAAGTATTACTCTGCAGACATTAACGTATGTCTTGTTGCAATTCAAGTAGTATTATGGATAAGTTAGTGGTTTTTTTTTTTTAACTTTTTAATCATTTTGATGCAGAAATTATCAAAACTTGTTGCTAAAAACTTAATTGAGTTTATTTTGTGCTCATATGGTTTTATGTTTTTATGCTAATAATACACCGACACAGTAGACGGACACACACGGCTTCATTTAACCAAATTAGCTGCAGAGATAATCTCCAGTGGCTAAATAAAGTCCATATCTGCCATCGTATTTACATTCCTGATAATACCTCTATGCAGATTTTGTTGCTTTTTATCCGTAAATGATTCGATTTCCAAACAAACGCGGTTCATTAGAGCAGACAGGAGGTCACGGCGTGTCGATGCTGTTCTTGTTCACCTTTCCTCTCGGAGTGCATCATGTGTTGTTGTTGTTTTCAAGGAGATGTGAAATGAGTAAAGTTTTTAAAAAGCTTGCACTTCCTCCTGTTTTGCATATAAATCTGGTGAACCCAGTGTGCATGCATATTACATTTCCTTTCAGGCAGATTGGCTGAATTTTAAATCAGAGTGACTGCTGAATTAAACGCTTTCTCTTCGGGTCTCACGGATTGGAAAATAATGTTTGTGTCTCTTGATTTGAAGAGCTCCGACGTTTCTCCCCCCTCATAAAACTGCTGACACAGACCTCCAGAGCCCCTGATTTCTATTCTGGGAATACCCGTCTGATTAGTAGGTCAGCCAGACGGCCCCTGAACCGGCCGGCAGCTTCTCGGGGACGAGCCCTGCGTGGTCTTGGAAATGACTCAGTAAATGCTGCTGTGGGCTTTGATGCCTTAACTGGCGGATGTGTCAGAGCAAATTAAAGGTGAGATGTAACAGCTAGGTCCCGACTTGTCAAGTAAACTGCCTTTGAATATGATTTGCATGATATTACCGCAGACCTTGACCGTAGAGAGGAGGAGGAGAGTCGTGCAAAGCAAACGCTCAGGTGCCAGATCGACCTTCGTTAGCATGTGGGACGCCGAGACGTTGACAGTGATGGGAAAACAAAAGACAGGAGTTTGGCCGAACGGTCTTAGTCTAGAAATATTAACATGTTCTGAGAAATGTGCTGTTCTTTACCCTCATTTACCCGTGAAATGTGGCCGTGAGTGAGCGCTAAACGGACAAGAGTTCAAGCCTTGCTCCATTTGCTTTTATATTACAGCTCTCGGTCTGGTGTTCTGAGCACAGCTGCTTTAGACCAGCCAGGAAATTGCACCTGAAATTGGCCTTGTGGTCTTGAGTGTCTTATAAGCCGCCTCACAGGTATGAAAGAAAATGAGAGAAGCGAAGAAACAGCCTCTCCAGCTCTCCATTTCAACCACAGACACGTCTCTCAGCCATGCACAAGAATCTCTTGCCCGCCTGCAGCCGATGGTTACCAGAGAAGGTCAGCGAGTCATGTAGCAACCCGGCCGCAGAGTGAAAAATGGAAGTGGGCGTCCATTTTCTTTGGCCACCGGAGCATGCACAAATAAATCCCAGATCTGCCATCTTTCTTCCTTCTTCCCTGTCTGTTGTACACTCTCTTGTTTTCAGTCTGCTGCTGCTGTAAATCGGCCCGGTCCTGGGAACGTGCAGGCTGTTTTCAGGGGATGAATGGAGGAGCTTGGATTTCACTGATCTGGGCAAGAAATGCAATTGAAAAGAAGTGTGCACTGGCTTTCATTATGAATTGAAATAGATCATTTCTCTATTTTCTGCCTCTTGGGTTTTCAGGCAGTGAATGAGCAAAAGATATGTCTTGCTTAGCCGGACCTAAACCTCGATTTAGAGAGGCAGTAACTGCAGGCTGGAGACCCGCTCATGTATCACTGCCAAACGCGGGGGGAAACATACCTTTAGTGGTTAGTTTCTGGAGAGGGGCCAGCGCTGTTGGCCACGTTGGCGACTCTATCAATTCAATTCCAGGCCTGGAGCGTTTTCAGGCCTGTGGTTCATTTTAACTTTTATCAATCCATACCTCAACACTTGGGCATGCTTAATATCGCAGATTTAACAAGCAGAGCCGGTCCCTCGCTCATAAAACTTTAATTAATACGGTAACAGTTCGCATCAGATGCCAAAACATTAGCTCCAGAGCTTTTTACAGAGCATAACTCACCGAAAGACTAGAGGAGGTTTAAATTTGGATGCAAATCAACAGAGCATATTTGCTTTTACTTAAAGTCTTAATTTCCATCACCATCTGCCCTCAGGCTCTGAAGACATTCTTTGAGCTCGCTAACAGGGTCGTTTATTCAATCAGCCAACTGGTGTCGAGGAAGGAGCCGAAGAGGGACCGAGGCTCACCTGGGGAAAAGACAGAGTTCGAAGTAAAACATGCAAAGAGACAAAAAAAGTTGTATTTTTTCACATTATTGTTGTTTCAGTTTCTGTCAAAGTTTCACTCTTTAGTTCAGAGTTTTAGGGTCTCATCTGTACCACCAAAAGTCAAACTGTGGAGGCGTTCAGTGCAACAGATGACTCATGTTTTCTTCACGCCGGATGCAAATAAAACTGTTCCCTTGCTGAATTTGCATGCCTGAATATTCTGTTTGCATGCCTAATCTGTGTGAAGACATGAGTCTTTTTTCATCAAACACTGTTGACCTTCAAAGATCTGTTATGTTTGAAAAGTTCACCAGATAATTCAAGCTCCTTTTTATTCCTATTTCTGATAGCTGATTGGCTCAGTGTTGTGTCGTGCAAAAGAACTGAACTGCTGAGTGAACGACGTGAATCACTCTGAGACCTGATTCGTTCCTTTTTCAGATCAGTTGAGAGGGAGTGGAACTGCCGCCTTTGACTCTTTGGCGAACGACACACAGCCAGCCAGTCAGCGGGCAGGCGGAGTCTCGTGATTCACTCACAGCGAATGAACGACATGTATCAGTCAGTGAACAAAACAGTCTGTGAACGGAATGATTCAGTCAGTCAGTGAACGACATGGTGAAGGAAACGAAACGAACGACTTCTGAACGACTCTTTGCAAACAGAGAAAGGAGGTGGTGTAGTGTCATTCACTAACTGCTGAACATTGGTTTATTCACTAAGGCTGAGATAAAACAGGTCATTATAGTGTCTTCACATTAATACACATATATAAACTTTCCTCTAAGAAGGATTTTATGTCAGCTGATTAAAAAAAATACGCCATTGATATCTTTAAAGGTAGCAGAATCCCCGCTACAGCTGCGACGTCAATGAACAGATTCTAAAGATTCAGTCAAAAGAACTGATCTTCCCATCACTAGATTGGCTACTGCGGCACAAGTGATTTACTGGAATTCAGATTTTCAGTTCCTGTGAGTAAAGGAATAAAGTGAGCGGCATGTTGAATTAGCATTGACTGCTGCTAAAACTCGCCTTTTTGCAAAACTTGTGTCTCACTGTTCAAGTCATTTGCGACTCCTGATAAGAACTTGCATCTGTACGTTGATTTTACATGAAATAACTTTATTTGCATGCAGCGTGATCACAACATTAGACAGATATTCACTATGACTGTTGGGCCACATTTTGAAGCTGCTGCAGCAAACAGAAAGAAAATAAAAATGTGGTCATGACGACGTAGAGCAGAGTCAATACTTTAATGTTTTTTTTTTGTTATCTAACCTTTAAATATTCAAACAACAGTAAATCTTATTGAATAACAGGAACTAAAAGTGCTTAAGCTGGGTGTGAATCACTGCATCGGACCGTCAGGTGGTCCGACTTGTTTTTCCCGTTTTGAGTTTTCGCTGGAAGAAGCTTTTTTAGACTTTTCCATCGACATTTGTTCATCTGCTGCTGAAGGGTCTCAGGTGGAAAACGTTAAACTTCTCCATTGTTGAGACGGACAGGTATTTAAAATGCAGCGTTAGGCCGTGATGTGCCAGACCTGTCACGTCAGCCAGCCTGCTTTAGCTGGGATCTGCCCGCTGAGCTGCGGCGGTGCCCTTGAGAGGTGCTTTTAAAAATAGCGGTCGTCAAGTATGCAGCTGTATAATTGGAATATTAGATAAACTCAAAGAAATGTGAGTTATGACAACCGCCTTGAGGAGGAGGAGGCAATAAAGCCCCTTATAGTGTAGAGTGGAGTATAAAAGGAGATGGTGGAGGGGGAGGAGGTGGAGTGATATATCTGCTGTCCTTCTCCGCTCTGATTTTCCACAGTGATTGGAGGCCCTCCACAAATGATGAGGGAGGCAGCTGTGAGAGCGCAGAGGCTCGGCAGGTTCACGGCAAAGTCAACACCGTCCAATCCCTCTAAACCCTCACACGGCTCACCGCAGAGCAGCACGCCAAAATAAAGCCCTGCCTGTGAGTGAGTGAGTGAGTGAGTGTGTGTGTGTGTGTGTGTATTAATACATATCAGTAGAGTAGCATTTCTCTGTGCCTCTGAGCACACACACACACACTCTCGATCTGTGGCTGTGTGGGCGGATGTGTCTCTTTTTTTTTTAATCTGTGATGTACAACCTGTGGCTTGATATCTGCACCTGTGGCATACTCGCCTCTACAGGATGTTGGAGAATTTTAATCCCTCCAAATCCCCGACTCTGAGTGCATGTATTTCCTGTGTGACTGTGTGAATTTTCAGACGGCGTGGAAGCTCAAGTGCCTGATCGACCGCAGCACGGGTTTTTATTCAAGATATGACTTTATCGCTGCCAATTGGGGTCAGCACAAAGCCGCGTTTAGAAGATGAGGTGATACGTTTTTTATTTTTTTGTTACTGAAGCAGTTTGACGATGAAACTTTCACACAAAGATGAGACGCTGACTGATGCTAAAGTGTCTATAAAAGTTTAAAAAAAACTGTCTTTAAAGCGAAATAAATCCTGATAATTGAGGTGAAGCTGATTGAATTGACTTCTGGGCTGTTAGCAAAGAGGCTAAAACGCCACCTCAAGCCTCATTAAACCTCTTTCTGACATGGTGACCACCATCGCGAGATGGTGATGCTGTTCGCCATAGAAATGTTTGCACCTAATTGTGTGTACACAAATGCATGATGGCTGCCATGCAACTTTTGCACACCTTTAAAAATGAATTTAAGGTGCAGACTGCATGTTTACTGTATGTAGGTGTAGCAACTGCTTTCTTTCAACAAAAAGGTCACTGGGGTTCGCTTGCATTTGTGACGCGTTCAATTATCAGTCCAGTTTGAGTGTAAAAAAATAATTTATTGTTCAAAGAAGGAAAGAAAACTTGTTGATCCAGCTCCTAAATTTTTGCCTTCGAATTAAAAGGGTAAAGATGATATGAGGTTAAAACAAGAAAAAGGTTAAAACGATGAAAAACAGTCAACAGAAAATTATCAGAGCAGAGTCTGACGACACCGGTGAGTTTTAAATAATCTGCCAAACATCCCAAAACCACACCCCTTAGCGACGATACCCGGAAGTGACGTACCGAGTAGAAATCAAACTCAACGAATATATTTTGGCTCCTACAGCAGGGATGCTCAGACGTTTTCTACACATTAGGTGCAGATGGAGACGTGGAGCACCCACATAAACAATTTAAAGAGACAATACATTGAAAATCAATCATTGCGCTTATCAAAGATATTTATAATTAAACTGATGAGACAGCCAGACAAATAGCGTAAATATAAACCAGATATAAACCAGATATTTGAGAAAATGAGGGTCAACCAGGTGATTAATTTCTTTCTAAACCAGAATTCGAAGTTAGATAATAGCTCCCCAATTTCCATCACATCCGAAATGGCTAAGCTACAGAGCGGCGGCAATTTTCGACGTCTGCCAATTCCTATCGGATCTGTATGTGAGCGGGAATTGTGAGAACTCACAAGAACCCGTGGAGTCACATGCAATCACGCAATAACGAGTCGTCTCCATAAAGACAGACACATAGACATATAAGCAGTAGATTGTGTCCTTCCAGAGGAGGAAATCTACTTCTAGACTTCTAGAATCAGCATCTCCTCATCCATGGTGTCATCGGGGTGAAATGACGTCTAAAAACCTTTCACTTGTTCATCCCCGCCCACATTTGCAAGGTGCCTCAAACACGTATTTGTTTAATTTTGTGTCTGTGCCCGACTTCCTTTCCAGCACGGGTTAATCTGTGCTGAATTTATGCGGCATGATGCAGCATCCAAAAGAAACAAAGAACTCTGCAGCGGAACAGAAAGAAACCGGTTACGATCAGCTGCGATCAGCGGATACGGCCTTTTCATAGCCGTTCTGGATGCGGTGGAAATTGTGGGTCACATGTCTGAATTTGGAGCAGACTGATCAGAACATATGAGTGTTTTATGGACCGGTCATAAACACACTCTGAGTTATTCTCTCCGTACGCTCTCCTAAAAGATGACTCAGGTTTCATCTGATTACATCACTTGACAGAGAGATGCAGAAAAACGACAGAAATCTATCAATCAGTCAGGCGGGCGGTCCTGTAAGAATTTCACATAATTTCAATCTGATGCTAAAAATAAAGGTTGTAACAATAGTTAAATAAAAGGCAGACACATTGTGATACCAGAGGCAGGGTCTGTTCCAGACTTTTAATCTTCGAGTCCTTCAGATTTCTCTTCTTCTTCTTCTTTTTTTGTCTCTGGCTTTGAATCGGAGTAACAGCTGCAAATGGAGACATAGACTGTGCTGCCATCCAGGTCAGCGTGGAGGGCTTTTTGGATGTGCCCCCAGTGAACAAACAAGACACAGAGTCTGATTGGAGACAAGCTGCCTCTCTCTAATCAGCTTCCCATTCTCTGCACGGCTTCTGTTTCCAAGGCAGTGGCTCGCTATTCGCTGAGATCCACTCCGCCGCTGAAAAAGACAAGATAATGCTTTCTTTGTTAACCAGAAACCATTTCAGCTTCATTGTTAACAAGAAACAATTTCAAGTTTGAGTTTTTCCTGAATTATCCGAGTACTCTTTCTCAAAGCGTCTCTGCTTCCATTTCAGCCAAACTGAAGTGATTTTTCTTTTGTTACAATTATGAATAAGACAAATGATATTTGAGACAGTTTGTATCACGGGAAGTTACGAGGCGGATTTAGACTGAAGCCAAAAGGACTGAAAGACCTGAGGAACCCAAAATAGACAATAAAGCGAGGTTACTTTAGGGCACTACTGGCTGTAATAGTAAATATAGAATTATATGATCTACAGTGGACTGTCAACAAGCATAGAGATGTAACAGTGGGGTTTACGGGTTAAATAAAGATGTTAAAGAAATCAGAGAAAAAGTGGAAAAATCCAAGAAATCAATCTCACCACGACCGGTCCCACGCCGCTTCATCACAGCCACGTCCGAACCACAAACAAGAAGTTAAACCACATCTGCACAAACTTCTATTGTCTTTTGGACCGTGAATGAATTTTGTGGACAGAGTTTAAGTCGGTCATGAGTGAGAGGGAGAAAGAAATACTCTGGGAACGTTTCGTAACACGAAGCAAACAAAGGAGAAATGTTTGATATGGAGGAGCTGCAGCGGCGTGATCAAGGACGCCATCCTAGCTTATCATCTTTTCATATTAGCTATCTAGGATTGTAAACCAGCTGTGGACGTACCTGGTTGTGGTAAACAAGTCTTTAAGTTGAGGACTTTTAAAACTCAGTCTTCTGTTGGTTTGAGTGAACAGCAAAAATCTAACTTTTGTTCTCGACTTGTGCACTCATTGAAATTTTACAGGGAACTCCAGCTTTTCTCCATCACTGTTTATCAGTGCAAAGGCAAATAAATATCACAGTATGTAGTTTTTAATTATGCACATTGCTAATTCTACATGCACACTGGTCTGGCATGCAGACGTGAGCATTTGTTGGTGTAAAAGCTGACTACATGAGGACTTGGACTCATGATCTGCAAACATTCCCGTCCTGTACATCTGCGTCTCTAACTTTGTATCTTCCAGAAGACGACTTTTGCAGATTTTCTCTTGCTGTGGATCTAACTGGCTCCTGTAATTTACTGTATTTACTTCTATTTCTATTATTGTAAGAAAACTTAGACTTCAAGGTGGTCATCAGGAGAGTAATCCAGGGAGACTTCAATGTTTTTGTTTTGTTTTGTTTATGATTTCTAACTCTTGAGACCTCCACATCAGCCTCAGATGTTTACAAGGACCTCCATAAATTATATCCCACAAGCGTTCTGGATAGGAGACTTATTTTGGTGCAGAGACACCTGAGCTAACTTTGTAACCTTGTTTTTTTTTTTTTTTACAATCCATGAGATTGAGGGTGGTGATCCCTGCGGATGCGTGAACATCCAATTAGAGATTTGTGATCCGTTTGTGTTGTGGAATAAAATATTTTATTTGAGTAAAATAAACAGAAACTTAGAGAAGTGTATTTTTACATATTTGACTGTGTGAACAACATCCTGCAGGGAGCTGAGGCTGGATTTCGCTCCGTGCGACCGCAGCAGAGTACAATAACAATACTTGTGTACCTACGTGTAGGAGAGGAAGAAAAAAAAACCTGCACGGGCACTCGTCTCTTCACCCTCAATCGTTCACGCTTCACTGCCAAGTCAGAGGTCTAATTATGCATTTGAGCGTGAGAGTTTAATTTGCACTTTTCATTTGGAGTGATTGGCACTCATATAAGTTATTCTGAATGCTGTTTAACTACAGGAGGGGCGGGCGGTGGGCTGCGGGCTCCGCCGATGTGCCACTCCAATCACTCTAGTTATTCATGTTCATACTACACGTACATTCCTGTCTCTGCGAACCTGAGTGGGCTGATGTAAAAGGCCTCATGTTCGATTCAGAGAGTGCACGCATGTGTGTGTTCACGCATGTGTGTGTTCACGTGTGTGTGTGGGAAGCAGGGGGTCTCTCTACAAATTGTCCTTTTACCTCCATGCTGGTTTGAATCCAACATCACGATACCGTGTAATGCATCTGCTCAGACGTGTGCAGTAGAAAACATTTTATCTGACGCTGGGAGTCAGAGATAGAATTCCCAGCATTCCTGTTGTGAGGGCAAGGCCTCTCCCCGGGGTGCCAGCCGGGGCAGCATGTGAGAGGCAAAGAAACATGAAAACGAAACGCAAAAAGTCTGATTAAAATGCATGACTGCACAGAATCAGTCAAGATATCAGCAGGCTTAGCTGGGCAAACACTCCGACTGCAGATTCACGTACGAGCTGCATACAGCAGGTGAAACGTTCAGGACCCGGGTCCACCCCGGGAGAAAACAGACAAGATATTACCTCAAAATTGAATAGGCTGTTTAACTTGCAAAGATACTCTCACATACATGTTTGTGACTTTGCTTCAGTCTCCCCCGCAGGTTAAAGTCAAAACTTTTCCTCCACTAGCAGTCCCTGGTGCAGTTTGTTTCTGCTTTTAGAGGGCGTGTTAAAGAGAGATGTAGGCTGACCATACGTCCTCTTTTACCCGGACATGTCCTCTTTTGGGGGGTTGTCCGGCCTGTCCGAGGGGAGTTTTAAAAGTCCACGTCTGCTCCTGAAGGTGGCGATGTCCTGAGAAACAGACTGTAATAGCACAACAGTAAGGATGTCAGCAAAGATCTGGCGTAAGTTCTGGCGTAACTAAGTTAGGGTCAAACACACCTTAACACCGAGTGAGACACCGGTCTGAGGAGCCATAAACAAACGTCAACCAAAACGCCACTCTATAACCACAAATAATGCTCAGAACAGCACCTAACTTCATCAACAGGACATATAGGGTCCCAGCCATAGTACTATAGTCAGAGTTGTTGTAAACTCATAAAAAAACATAAACCTAAGCGGGGGCATTTCTCCACCTCTGCCAAGAAAGTTCTGCTGTAGTCAAAATGAAAAGGTAAAGGTGTTTTTATTGAGCCGAATTATCAATAAAATCATGATTTTGTTAACAGGTATGGATATATGTGCTGTCGAGTTAGTATATGTGAACAAGAGCACAGTAAAGTTAAATCAGATCGTTTTCCAATGAGGTTCTGTTACTATACGAAACTACACCATGTTCTACTCAGGTTAGTACATATAGAGTCCTAGCCATAGTACTAGACACCAAACATCTTTTTAACTTTGACTCATTTCTTTAGCAAAAAGACTAAACACAACTCACCTACTCTCTTCCAGCAGACGCTTGTTTGTAGCGAGACCTCAGGCAAGTCCATTACGGACTACGGCGGGGTGACGCAGCTCAAGGAAGAACATTTATGATCATTTCTTCATGGTAGAACTACCGCGTTATTACTTTGAGGAAATGATAAATAAATTATCATAAATGTTCTTCCTTGAGCTGTGTCACCCCTGCGCCAAGGAGCAAGTCCCCCTCTGCTCCGGTAGATGGCGACGTCCTGAGAAACAGTCTGTAATCGCTCAGTAGTTAGGATGTTAGCAAAGTGCTCCCCCGTAAAAAAGAGGAAATATTATCAACTTCAGTAATAAGTGGGCCAAACCAAAATAAATTACTGACATCCACACACACACAATCATAAATGCACCTGCTTCTACACTCATGCACCTGCACTTTCTGCACACTCTGCATCCTTGCATCTCTTTTGTCACACCCCCAAAACAATCCGTCATTTCCTCTCTCTCTGTCTTTTCACGCCTCTTCTCTCCTCGCCGTCTCTCCTTCCAGGACTGAAATCTGCAGCTTCAGCAGATCTCTGTGTGGTCAAACACATTACAGGAGCTTTCAGCCCACAGCTGGCCACTTATCGCCCTTTGTGTTTTTAATTTTCTGCACATCTCTGCTGCTCCCTCTCTCTCTCTTTCACACAGACACGCAGAAGTCCCTAATTAACTAACATCTTGTACGGGGAGGAGGTAAGCAGATGTTGGGGAAACAATTAAGAGCATTGAAATATGCTGCACAAAGAGTTTTGCAGAGCGCCGTCGACCCTTCCTAATCCCAGCCGCCTGTCTGTTCTGATGATAGTTAACCATGTCTCATCTTTTTATAGAGCTCTGCCTCCTCTCTGCATCCCTGTGGGGCATGGGGCTGCTCATTCTTCGAGCTAATAATGGAGCCATCTGAAAGTAATAATTGCCACGTGATGCGAAGAAGTCAGTGATGTGTCAATCAAGCTCTGCACAGCGGGAGTCAGGAGCAAATGTGACAGAGTGAAGATGTGAAGCTGAAGTGAGGAAGATGAGAAAGAGAGAAAAGAGAGAGAGAGCGGGAGGGCGTGTCTGCCTTTTTGTCCTTGTGTGTTTTTTTTGTGTGTAGGGCTGATTTTTGCTGATTTTGCAGCCTCCGTTTTTAGCTCTGTCCTACTTCACATGCAGGAAGTTGCATCCTCGTCCGTGCAGCGCACCTGGTCCTGCTGATGCTGCCGGCCTCTGAGCAGCTGTGCGAGGACCTGTCTTTGTTTGGACATCACAGACAGGGAGTTTCAGCAGCAGAGTCTAAAATAACCTGGAAGTGTTTTATTAGGGCACCTGCAGAAACTTCGGTCCGCTGTGTTTATCTCTGATTCTGCAGACTTGGGCGTCTGGATTTTGGTAAGAACTTTGTTTATAAAGTTATTTAACCCTATGATTGGATGTAAGCATTTGTATACTAGAAAAATCAAGTCTGCTTGATTTTGTGTCACAAAAAACAATTTCCTAATGTCCTTGAATGCGTAAGAATGACTTGACTCAACAAATGAGCATTTTAGAGGTTGTTTTCTTCTCTTCTTGAGGACTAACCAGACAAAGTTTGTGTTTTCATACCTTTTAATCACAATGATTTATTTCTGGAAAGCTTCAGATCCACTAAACAGGAATAAACCTCCTGAAAATCTGCGTCTTTTTTGGGCAAATACCACCAGAGGAAGCCGAGTGAAGCCTCAGTGTAGTTTACTATTTACAGTGAATCTGAGACCTGGGTGACCTGGCACCGCTCTGGAAGAACTTTGAAGTTTTAAGGTGGACCATTTAATATTTCTGTTCATGTCCAAAACTACATTTCATTGCAAGCTTTCTTGTCAGCTGTACCGTAAAACTCTGCAGTGATTCATAATCCATCATTTATATCCTCGACTCTACAGCTTGTTTTGAAAGTCTGGCTCCGGGACTCTTGATCATATCTCAAACTCTGCAGCTTTGGTTCCGAAGTCTAAGCAGACATTGCATATATATTATTACTGTCTTGCCTCTGGAGCCCTGCACCTGTAAAACTGAAGCTGGACTGATTTGCAGATGTAAAGAAAAAGTCGACAACCTCCTGAAAATGTTGAATTCTCCATTTTCAGAAAAGTATTTCTGCAACTTGTTCGTGTTTTCTAGACTCAGCACTACTTTTTTGAAACACTTAAACACTTTAATTTGTTCATTTAACATGCATGTATCGTAATGTTGGTGCTTTGACATTTAATCATGCACAAATCAGCGTTTGCAGCAAAAAAATCTAAATTTGAAACTTTTTACACGAGGAAGATTAAGACAAGAGAAGAAAATCACCAATAAAATACAAAACAGTTATAAAGGTGAGTCTTAAAAGTCTCTATATTCAGTCTGCTAAACATAAATATATTCTAACTGATTGAGATGATTGTCTGAAGTCTCTATAACTTGGATTTTGTGACACTGAAAGAAAACAAAGAGCTCTACTGTACGAGTGTTTCCTCTCAGCGCTCTGCTCTTCAGGCTTCAGTATTTGCATATTTTCTGTATTTGCCCTCTGGGCTTCTCCTCCTGTGGAGCGCTCACTGCTTTCTTCAGACACTCAAAGGAGTTTTCCCAGAATGCATCAGATTTGTTTATGTCCCAATTTGATGTCTTAGCGGTGATATGTTGTATGTTTGTGTCGCCGCATAAATTTAAACCTCGTCTAACCTCCTCAGAGCTCGTGTTCGCTGTCAGGTTGGTTACATCCAGTCCTCCGCAACAAACCATCCTCAGTCTGATTTCCACGGCTGTGCAGAGCTCTGCGGCCCCCTCCGTTTGAATGACAACTCATTAGCTTGTTAAATTGACATGGAGAATCGGCTAATCTCCTCCTCGAACTGTGCAGGAGAAAGCATGAAATCCTGCAGAGCTCTTTTGACTTCATGTATGAGAGAAAACAGATTTCTGCGAGTGGAGAGTTGTCCATCACTTTAAACACCTGACAGAAAGAAATTCTTCTTAAAATTTTATCATTTTTTTCTTTTACATTAAAATCTTCAGATTATTATTGACTGAAGCTCCATCCATATGTGTACAGATGCCGCTCTGGAGGTGTTTTAAATATGAGTCTGTTCACAAAGCAGTGCTAAAATGGTTTCAAACCCTCACATAAGCGTGTCAGACCAGTGCACAGCGCTTATATGTTACCATATATATGTTAGGAGAATGCTGCACACGTGTGCTGAGAGCTAGCGGCAATTTAACATTTTTCTCGACCCTGATAGATTTCTTTTGGCCTCTGTGCTGCAGAATAATGAGAACGTGAAGCTTTAGAGTTACTTCTAAACATGCAAACTAGTACTGAGGAAATGTAAACAAATGATTAGCCAGTCACATAGTGTATGTGCAAAACAGATATGCAACTTTCAAGTAAAAGTAAAGAAGATGATGTCAATGTTTGCTAAAAGCTCAGTATTCCCCGTCCTCACAAACACAAACACACACAAAAAAAAATGCTTTTTATGCAGATGACTGTCTAACATGAGTCTGGTCCTTCTTCAGGTCTCTGCCTGTTTCTGTCTGTAACTCTAAATTCTGCAAAGTGGTTCACTTCTGCGGATGTAGATGGATCAAAGTGGTCTCACAAGGCAGGACTCAGGCCCAATTTCCACCGCATCTGGAACAGTGCCAATCGGGAACAGCTGCGATTTTCGCCGTCCACCAATTCCTACCAGATCTGTTGGGGAAGCAAATTTCATGGTGAATTCATATCAATAACGATCGATTGTGCATCGAAGACCATCTTGTTTCTGACTTTCTCCGGCTTCACCAGGTGCATCCTTCGAAGCCCCAAATGACCCATGATTCTTTGCACACCAATACAATTGACTTTGGGGTCTCTGAAGGTGCAGACAAGTCCAAAACATTACATAAACGCCATTGTCAAGGTAGTACCGTAAGTGTGCAGTTCTCCAAAATGCAGACCGGCTTAATTCAGTTCAGCCTGACCTGGTCTTCTCAGACCACAACGGCCAAATCCTGCTGCAGCCCCTGGATTGGGATTAAATTTATATTTGCAGGTATTGGACTAAAGATAAACCAGATTATTTTAAATTTATACCTCTAAGTTTACGCCTCAAACCTCTTCACTCCCATGATCCTCCAGGTGAAATGTTACTTCATGTGAAAATTCCATCTTCCTTTATTCCTAAAACTATAAAAGTGTCTCTGCGCTCCTGTGTGCAGATCTATATTTGTATTTATTCCCCTCTTCAGCTGCCTATGATCATCCACGCTCTGCTCTGTATGTTGATTGCCTCGTGAATTATTAAATAAAGCAGATTGCCCCATCACCGCAGAAGAATGCGAGCGCCTGTGGTTGGCTATAAAAAAATCCGACAGAGAGAGATTAGGAAAACTAAAACCATGTGAAGTGGTGGAGATGTCTCAGGAAGACGGAGCGCAGATAACAACCCCGCTCTTTGATTCATTTCAGGGGTGAAAGATGGATGAGCGTCTGAATAATTTCTAATCTTCTTTAAGGCCGAGCGGCAGAGGACAGGAGGGAGACGGATGTTTATTTACGATGGCCGCGGCGCCCGTGGAGACCTGGAGATCCAGCGACACGCTGAGATGCAGCGGAGAGATATGACTCGGATAAAAGCGTCGGAGATGTCAGAGGTGAAACTGAATATCATTGCTCATGCTGCTGCAGCTGCGTCCGCTCGGCATGAATCCACAGAAAAGCTCTTTTTTACGGATTTATCTGGACGCTGAGAAGAAAACTCTTTGTTTTCTTCTTTCAGTTTAGGTTCTTTTATTATTTTTATCTGACCTCTGACCTCTTATCCTCCTTGTCTTCATCTCCTGCATCTTTCTGAGTCTTTTCAGATAAAAACCCTCGACTTTATTCCTCCCTCTTGGCTCTCTCTCTTCATCCTGGTTACTTTAGCGTCTCTGAAGTCCTTCTCTTATCAACCCCGCTCTCTCTCCCTCTCTCTCTCTCTCTCTCTCTCCGTCCTCTGCTCCGCTGACCCGCTCACACAAACTTTCAGAGAGGCTGTGAAGCTGAACCACAGTGAGCGCGGCTCCTTCATGTGGCCCCTCTGGGGGTCCCCTGCAGTGGGGCTGGTGTTTAATCAAGCCCCTGGCTTTGACTCCCAGCGGGCTCACACCCCTCCTGACCCCCACCATCTGTGGGGGCTGCAGAGGCTCACTGAGCCCACCAGCTCCATTATGAGCTACCTGTCCTTGAGCTCTCGGTGTTTTCTTCAGCAGAGTGTGTTCAGCTGACACTGCAAATCTACGGCGTATAACTCACAGCACACACACACACACACACACAGGAGAGATACACACGCACACACAGAGGAGAGACACACACATGCAGCCTGAGAGTGTGAAAGACAGAGGAGACAAAGACAATAGTACAATCAAGGGCAGGCCTGCAATTTAGCTCTCAGTCCTCCCAAGAATCAGAAGAAATATCGAAACAATTCGCTGCCCCAATTACATGAAACAACGGAGAGAGAGAGAGAGAGAGAGAGAGAGAGAGAGAGCTTTCCCTTAGATGTGTGTCTTTACATCGTGATGAATGCCGACAAACTCCAGAAACGAGAGAGTATTATCCTAAAAGTAACGAATCACAAATCTACTTCTGCTTCTTTAACATTTTTGTTTGTTTGTTTTATTAATGTGTGACCATAAAAAATTCATGTGATGAACATAAATCTAAGAAATGATTCATTTCAAACAGTAACTGAGAAGTCAACTTCTCTGTGGTTTGTTAAGTGTTTTATCCAAACTACTGTCAGCTGGTCCTCCGGGTTTAGAGAGAGAAGGAACAGCTGTTTGTGGTTTTTAGAGAAACATCATTTATTCAACAAGACAAACAGTCTTTCTCAGTGTTAATCCTGGCTGATATATCTGATTTAGTTTTAGTCTTTGGGCTTAAAGGGATATTCCGCGGGAAATTAATTTAGGGTCAAACACACCGTAACACCAAGTTAGACCCCCCTGAAGATGGATGTTACCGACCGTTTGCTTCTCTAGTTATACCAACTTTAGTAACGACCGCAGGATCCAGCAGCAGCTTGTTCATAGCGAGACCTCAGGCCAGTCCATTAAGGACTACAGCGGGGTGACGCAGCTCAAGGAAGAACATTTATGATCATTTCTTTATCATTTCCTTGAAGTAATAATCAACAAATTAATTATTTTCACTGCAGACGCGGTAGTTCTTCTGCCTTAGCGTCTCGGTCTGATTGTATTTCCATGAAGAAATTATCATAAATGTTCTTCCTTGAGCTGCGACACCCCGCTGTAGTCCGTAATGGACTGTTTGGTGTCTAGTACTATGGCTGTGACCCTATATGTCCTGTTGATGAAGTTAGGTGCTGTTCTGGGCATTATTTGTGGTTATAGAGTGGCGTTTTGGTTGAGGGCGTGGCTCTGTGTATTTCTATCCTGCGGTCGTTACTAAAGTTGGTATAACTAGAGAAGCAAGCGGTCGACAACATTCATCTCTGGAGGGGGGGTCTAACTCGGGTGTTACGATGTGTTTGAACAAACTGAAATAACTGCTGCATCAAAACGACCGAATCAGAGTTTATCAGACAATTCAAGTTCTGATTTTTACTAACAACACTGCATTTAAAGGGATAATCCAGGGTAAGATTAATTTAGGGTCAAAGTTGGTTTTCAAAGTGGATCATTTTGCACCTTTTCCTTCTTCAGACCTAAGAAATATAATAAGGTTGGAGTTTAAACCATCCTTCTTAGCGTGATAAAGACAATACAGGGCAGTCATCCAATTTAGCTCTTAGTCCTCAAACAAGTTCACAGAAATATTAAATAATACCTCAAAAATGCCGCTCTAATTAAATGAAACTCCTGACCCGGCTTCCGCAGCAGCATGAGAACCACAAGTATTTATCCAACAGTTCTCGTCTGTTACCACTGTTTTAACTCCTGAGTGCTCCTGATAGTCATCCTGCCAGCAGCCCGCTCCTCATCACAGGCCCCTGACCACAGAGAACGTCTTATCAGCGCCGCGTGTGCCACCGATCTTAAGCCCGCGCTGATGGATTTGGCGGAGCGCTCGATGGCTGAGTTTTAAGCAGATTCATATCGGGGTGATTGAATGGGCTGGGGCTTTGGTTGGCTTGTGTTAGCGCTGTGTTGGTGCTGTTATTGCTTACACAGGGGGAGACAGTGACACTAGAGCTGTGGTGATGGATAGAGAGGCTGAGATTTCCCTGAAGGAAGACGGAGAGAGGGAAAATAAAGAGACGAGAGGAGGCAGGGGAGAGCTGGAGAACCAGATAGACAGAGAAGAGAGGAGTATGTATGGGAAATATACTGCATGTTAAATGGATTGCACTCGTTATAGCCTGGAGTACGCACTTCTTCTTCTACAAACAGTGTTGCTTCTTGAGTGGAAATGCTCGCCGTAATCGTCTCTGAAGGGGAAACAGGAGTGTGACACAGATCGAGAGAAGTATCAGGTTTTATGTCGGTTTGGTTTTGATCCCAACAGCTCCTCACATCAGGGTAAATTTACACTTTAAATATCAGAGGTGATGCCCTGACCTCTTTGGTTTATGAGAGCATCTACAGCGTCACTAAAGTCTCGCTGCTGCGGCTAAAAATAAACCTCAGCTCTTCGCCAAAAACTCAGGATCTCTGCGAGTTTTAAGCAGGAAGCGAGGAGTTCAAGGAATAGTTTTTGGAAGTGTGCGCGTCCTTTTCTTGCCAAGACTCAGTAGAAAACATCAATATCACTCCACTATCTGTTCTCCGAGTAAAGAGCCATCGTCTGGAGGCAATTAGTTTAGCTCAGCGATGAGGCCGCACTCCTGGATCTCAGAAAATACAAACCTCTGATAAACCAGCAGCTTCTCTGTCCAGGAAGAGGATCCAGGATTAGGTTTTTATCAAACTAACATGTTTGACTCATTTAATGCAAAAATTTTCTTTCATAACAACCTAAAGTCACATGCAAATTAAAGGGATATTCCAGCGTAAAATTGATTTAGGGTAACACCAAGTTGGACACCCCCTGGAGAGATAAATGTTGCCAACTGCTTCTTCCCTAGTTAAACCAACTTTGGAATGACCACATGATTGCAATACACAGCAGTCTAAGGAGCCATAAACAAACCTCAACCAAAACGCCACTCTATAGCCACAAATAATGCTCAGAACAGCACCTAACTTCATCAACAGGACATATAGGGTCACAGCCATAGTACTAGACACCAAACATCTTTTTAACTTTGACTCATTTCTTTAGCAAAGAAACTAAACACAACTCACCTACTCTCTTCCAGCAGCCGCTTGATTGTAGCGAGTCCTCAGGCCAGTCCATTACAGACTACAGCGGGGTGCCGCAGCTCAAGGAAGAACATTTATGATCATTTCTTTATCATTTCCTTGAAGTAATAATCACCATATTAATAAATTTCTCTGCAGACACCGTAGTTCTTCTGTCTTAGCATCTTGGTCTGATTGTATTTCCATTAAGAAATGATCATAAACGTTCTTCCTTGAGCTGCGTCACCCCGCTGTAGTCGCTACAAACAAGTGTCTGCTGGAAGTGAGTAGGTGAGTTGTGTTTAGTCTCTTCGCTAAAGAATTGAGTCAAAGTTAAAAAGATGTTTGGTGTCTAGTACTATGTCTGTGACCCTATATGTCCTGTTGATGAAGTTAGGTGCTGTTCTGAGCATTATTTGTGGCTATAGAGTGGCGTTTTGGTTTAGTGCGTGGCTCTCTGTATTGTTATCCTACAGACGTAACTAAAGTTGGTATAACTAGAGAAGCAAACGGTCGGCAACATTCACCATTAGAAGGGGGTGTCTAACTCGGTGTTATGGTGTGTTTGACCCTAAATAAATTTTACGCCGGAATATCCCTTTAAATATGTTGTTTGAGGAACAAGGCAGATGATCTTTAGGTGGAAAAAACGAGTTTGCTCTTTATAGATGGAGTCATAATGAGATGGACGACATGACAGCTCCTGCAAAGTAAAGCCAAATGATTTAAAGCTCCTCCTGCAGACAGGCCGTAGTATCGAGTTCACACCAAACAAACATTTATTCTCATCCTGATATGCAAGTGTTTGATTTTCCTTCTTAGTTGATTTTTGATGCTAAAAAAGAGCGAGCAGACGAGGTTTTAGCATCACTTTTTTATTTTGGATTAGTGATGCAAAAAAAACATAAAAACAGTTTATTATTTATGATCTATAAAAGTGAGACTGGCCTCTCCTCCTGTTTTGCTCTAACTCATGAGATTTCATGAGATCAAACCTGGAGTAACCAGACTTCATTAGACCTGAACGAGGATGGCGAGGGCGAGAAACACACAGAAGCAGCACTATTGAGTGTTTGCTCCCGGCAGCGCGTGTTGCTTCTGTGCTGCAGGATTTTTTCATCACTCGGTCTATCAGCATGGTAAATACGAGCGCTGACCCCTCCTGACCCGGCCCCTGACTCAGATAAGCACTGCAAACACAGTGTGAAGTGGCTCAGGCAGTCCTGGTCACACACTAAGCCCGGCATCCCGCCGCGCTGAAAGACGCCACCGACACTCCTCGGATCTTCTGCATGTTTGTGTGTGTGCATGAGCAAACAAGAGGGTAAGTGTGTGCGTCTCTGGGAGTCGGGTTGTGTTTCTGAGTGTGTGGCTGCTTATGTGTGCACACGCTCCTTTGCACACATGCATGTCACTTCCTATTTGTTGTTGTGATGTGTTTTCCCTCACCTCCATGAGCCGGCGCCGCGCTCCCCCAACATCCCCAACATCTCTGCATTGACAGAAACATCCGTCTTTGTGCTTTATAGCCACCCAGGAAACGAGGTAAACAAAGGCTGCAAAAAGAAGAAGCCATGTTTCTCTTTTATGGGCCACAATTTCTCACCGACTTTTGGAAATGCCCCCACCTGAGTTACTGGAGAGACCCGATGCGATGGCTGGCAAGGCAGGAATTTTATCCGTAACAATTTTTTAAACAAACTTTGGCAATATATCTCCCGGTGTTCCTTTCTTGGATAGATTTTTCATTTCAGCTCGTCGCCTTTCCTTCTGAGCACTTCTCAAGGCCTCTGTCTGGCATCACGGTCGATGACAATCTTGCCTCCGTGTTTATTTTCTGTCGTCCGCAGATAATGGCCGCGGTGCCAAGGCTGTGGAGAAACTATGGGGAGAAGAGTGGAGACCTGAGGAGGGAAAACAGGACTTGAAAAAAACCCTGGAAAGGAAACACACAGGGAGCCGTGACTTAAACTCTAGTTATTTTCTATCTATGATCAGTGAAACCTGCAGCTTGTGACAGCTGAACTCTATTTACAATAACAGATGGAGAAAAGCCTCTGTTTACGCTGCAGGATACATCTTTGCTTCGCCATACTCAGGTTTTTAGACCAGCACCCACCTGCAGACTCCACCTAGAGGTTAAAGATGTTTCCATCACTCTTTAAAGGGATATTTCGGCGTAAAATTAATTTAGGGTCAAACACACTGTAACACTGAGTTAAACACCCCCTTCTAGAGGTGAATGTTGCCGACCGCTTGTTTCTCTAGTTATACCAACTTTAGTAACGACCGCAGGATAGCAATACAGAGAGCCACACGCTCAACCAAAACGCCACTCTATAGCCACAAATAATGCTCAGAACAGCACCTAACTTCATCAACACCAAACATCTTTTTAACTTTGACTCATTTCTTTAGCAAAGAGACTAAACACAACTCACCTACTCTCTTCCAGCAGCCGCTTGTTTGTAGCAAGACCTCAGGCCAGTCCATTATGGACTACAGTGGGGTGCCGCAGCTCAAGGAAGAACATTTATGATCATTTCTTCATGGAAATACAATCAGACCGAGACGCTAAGGCAGAAGAACTACAGCGTCTGCAGTGAAAATGATTAATATGGTGATTATTACTTCAAGGAAATGATAAAGAAATGATCATAAATGTTCTTCCTTGAGCTGCGTCACCCCGCTGTAGTCCGTAATGGAAAGTAGTCCTGTAGTCCTGATGAAAGTAGTCAAAGTTGAAAAGATGTTTGGTGTTGATGAAGTTAGGTGCTGTTCTGAGCATTATTTGTGGCTATAGAGTGGCGTTTTGGTTGAGGCCGTGGCTCTCTGTATTGCTATCCTGCGGTCGTTACTGAAGTTGGTATAACTAGAGAAGCAAGCGGTCGACAACATTCATCTCTAGAGGGGGTGTCTAACTCGGTGTTACGGTGTGTTTGACCCTAAACTAACGATATGCCGTAATATCCCTTTAATTCCTGCATGAAGTAGGAGCCAAACACAAACCATATCCTATTTACTGCATGAGCATGAATTACCTGACAGAACTGATCATAACAAAAAAGACGAGTTAATATCCATGTCTCATTTTCATGGAGTCAGGACAGCGGCTCATATTCACCTCATACTCGGGTCAAGTCTCTGATAAGTTCTTCTTATCTTAGTGGTCTCCTTTGGTTCCTTGTAGAAAAGGGC